TTCACTGTGACTCAGCTGCTGGGAGCTTCTGTCCCTGGTGACGTCACAGTTCAGCAAGGTCCCAGTCACGTGAACAGGCTCTGGGTTGGCTCTTTCTTTGCATAACTTTTTTACTTCTTGCCCAGAAAATGGTAATATTGATGTCTACTTTATCACTGTTTTTTGAGCCAGGTCTTGCTTTGTACTTCAGCCTGGCCTTGAACTCACTGTGTAGCCTAGGCTGGCCTGGAACTTCTGGCGATCCTCCTGCCTCAGCCTCTGGAGTGCTGGGATTACAGGAGTTTGCCACAAAGCCTGGCTACCTTGTGATATTTTTAGGAAGGTCATGCTGGTAAGTATATGGCATACCTAGCACATGCCAGACATTCAGAAAAATGTCCTCAGTTGGCCACTTGTGGTTGTTCCAAGGTAGAACTGGTTATTCATAAATCATCAGTGGTGTTTGTTCTGCAGTTTCTAATATTGAATCTATAAATCTGATTTTTCAACTGGACTTTAGTTTTCTTAGAAAATGGAAAAGTTTTTCTGCAGAATTAGAGGCCTTCATAAAATGGTGTCATTTTGTTACTTGCTCTTCTGTGTTCATCCACAATTCTGCTATAAATTTTGATTTTAGACACCTCCAGCTCCCGTAACATTTGGGAGATACATTTTCTCACAGTTCTGGAGACTGGAAGTCCAAGATCATAGTGCCAACAGGGTTGGTTTCTGATGAGGCTCTGTCCTTTGTTTGCAGACAGCCACCTTCTCACTGTGTCCTCACCTGGCCTTTCTTGGTTTTTGCCTGTCCCTGACCTCTTCTTGCAATAGTCACCTTGAAGGTGAGGGCTTCCACACAGGAATTTTGAGGAGCCCCCCTTAGACCCTTACACAGTTCCCTTTCTTCTGTCTGGGTTTGGCAGGGCTGCCGTAGGATGAGAAATACTGCTGCAGCACTGAATAAATTTGTATGCTTTTCATTATCCTATCTCTGCTTGTAGGTGGCAAAGTCTCGCTTTCTTAACACTTGTATGTCTGCAGTGTCAGACAGAAACACACTTATAAGAACATGTATAACTAAGCAGAGGCTTACCAGCAGGCATGCAATCTACTTTCAATTGTATTTCATTTTCTTTTTGAGCTATTTTCAGATGCACAGCTTTATGTAATTTGAAAAACTCTGCTCTAGTGTAGGTTCCAAACCTACATGTATGTGTGACATACATTGAATGACTTTACTTTTTAGTCCTGTGAGGTCGCGGATGTGCCATTGGCTTGCTTTGATTTATGGTATTTGGGAAGCCCATCATGAGATTTCCCTGCAGAGGAAATTATAGCTTGGAAAATTTCCCTGCCATTTGGCAGTGTTAGTAGGAAATGGACAGTAGGGTGGAAAAGTTTCATCACATTGACTGTCTCTGCCAGGAGAGGCCCACAGCCAGGTCTGACAGTTGGGTGCTGGGTGGGTTCTAATAAAAGCTCACTGTGGTTCTACAGTAGATTTAATGTGTTTGTTTTCTCTCTCAAGGTGTGGCTTGGTTTTCTTATGGAATTATCTTTCCTTATCATAAGCCCCTTCCCAGTAGATAAAAGAATTGTTTTGTTTTGTTTTGTTTTTCGGTACCGGGGATCATCGAACTCTGGACCTTGTGCTTTTGAGGCAGGCGGTGGAACCACTGAGCTAAATCCCAGCCCTAGAAGAATTGTTATTAAGAATAAAAGTCTATAAGTTTTTGATGTCTTTCTCTCTAGTCTTAATTGTGATCTGGTATTGGGATGGAGCTTGATTTTATCTACAGTTATCTCTCGTAGCCTTTTTGTTGCAGTTAACAGCTGTGTTAGTGCCGTGAGCTTTCCTGCAGGATAATGACCACCTGTGTCATTCAGGAGGGCAGGATTCCAGGGAGAGACCTGCTCCCTCTAAATGCAAGCACAAAGGAACTTAGCATTCAGCCCTAGTAGGTCCTAGGCCCACGGTTACACAAACCATACTTCAATATTCAAATGTTGCTGCTTATAGGAGACCTTGGGGCACTGCATGGTTCTGAGGGAGTTTGTGCACAGGTTTGCCCTCCATTGGATACATGATCTTGGGCAGGTATTTGAGCTGCTCTTGGTCTTGGTGGCAGATCAGTGTGACAGTGCTGGGAACAGATGGGAGCCACAAAGGTGAGGCCTCTTCCCTCTCTTGCTCTTCCCATTCCTCCAACTTTGTTTGTTTTTGATAAACGAGGATTATAAGAGCACATAGCAGATGACTAAAGGTCAATAAAGATCTCCCTGTTCAGTTCATCCTTGTTTGTTTTGTGCCCCATTGTGTTGGTTTTGTTGTGGAGATGATGAAGGACAAAGACCTACAAAGAGAAGGCCTGAGTCCCCAGGCAGCAGGGCCTTACCACCCCCAAGACCCAAGTGTGGTTATCTGCTTCTGTGGAGCCGGGACTTGGGCCGTGATGCATGGCCTTCTTGGCGTAAGACACCGTAGTTTAGGTTATTCTCATGACTGACACACTGCTGCCATCGGGGGCCCTGAGGGGGCCAGGAAGACTAGCGCAGAGGTAGGTGACCCGATGTCACCTAAGCTGCTTAGCCTGCCATGTGTCATTGCCACTTCAGGAACCAGGTTCAGGCCAAGCAAAGTTTGGAAGCCTGAAGAGAGTCATGGTGTGGAGACTGGAATTGCTTGGCTTGGTGTTTTTAGGTACCGGGGACCCAACCCAGGGCACTCTGGCACCAGGCTATATCCCTATAACTTTGTATTTTTCATTTTGAGATCTCTCTAAGTCATCCAGGCAGGACTCAAACTTGTAATCCTCCTGCCTCAGCTTCCTCAGTGCTGCACCTGTCACTATGCCTGGCTTGGTTTTGTTTTAAAAAAGCTTCCTTTAGCTGGGCATAGTTAGTGGTGCACACCTGCAATCCCAGCACTCCAAGAGGCAGAATTTGAGTTCAGCCTGGGCTACTTAGCAGACCTAGTCTCAAAATAAGGGCTGGAGATGCAGCTCAGCGTGAAAGCCTTGGGTTGGATCCCCAGGACTGCTCCCTTCCCCCTAAATGGCAGAAACTTTCCTTGTCCCAAGAGATGTGGTGAGCTTGAAGGGCCAGTGGATTCTGGACACCACAGGAGCCTCCCGGATGGGAAGGAAGTAGAAAGCAAGAGGATCGTGACTGCTTACCCCTGAGTTTGCTCCTTGTGAGCCCAAGTGGCTGTTTCTTGGGCTTATGGACCCTTAGGGAGCAAGACCAGGGAGGGGAGACAGAGAAGAGCTGGGAGGGTCCCTGGTCACCTGTTCTTGGGGCAGAGGCCAGGAAGTCCTGACTGTGAATAGAGGTACTGGGGAGAGAGCACCATGGGGTCGGCCCTCTCCCATGTTGGCCAGACAGCTGGCGGTAGTGATGACCAAGGAGGTTGCTGTGGACACTGCTGTACCTAAAAATTGGAAGATACAGGGATTGAAGTGCTATTGTTTTAACTCATTTTTTCTGCACAAAGTGTTTGCTTAGGTACTTCTTTTTTTCTTTTCCAAATTGTTCTCTCAGAACAGCTGTCCTAATACAGATGGTCTTCATGCTCAAGGACTCTACACCAGTGTCCAAGTGTGGGTCACCTGGCACTTTCTTGCATGGGGTGCAGGTTGAGATTCCTGTGTCCACAATGCTTGCATATTCCTTATCCAAACTGGAAGTGTTTTAATCCAAAACATTGTGTTACAGAATCTTTGCATATATATAATGTTTTGGGGATGGGACCTACCTCTAAAATACAAAAGTCATTCATGAGTATGTTTCGTATGGACCTTATCCATATAGCCGAAACCTAATTCTATACAGTATTTTCAGTCTTGTGGATGAGACAAAGTTTGCATCTTGTGACATAATGTTGGTGTTCAAGAGTTCAGATTTTGCAATATTTTGGATTTTGGATTAGGGATGCTAGAGCTGTATTGAGAAGGTCATCAGATGAATGAATCTAGGCTGTGGGGAAAGGAAGGATGCAGGTAACAGAAAGAAAGTTTGGTTTTGAGAGAATCTGAATCAGGTTTAGGGTGACTGCTGTGTGGCCTTCATGATCTGTGGGCCTCTATGTAGGCAGATTATCCGGCGCTATTGTTTACTTGGTGGCGCTTCATTCATTTCCCTCTGCACTGGTTTGGAACTGCAGCCAGATGGGATCTGCCAGATATACACCAGCCCGTGCTTGCTTCAGGCCAGTGGCTCTGCGGAGCAACTCCTGTGTGCCAGGAGTATCACAGGGACCTGGGCATGGTCCCTGTGTGAAGTGTCCATTGTCCAGTTGTCCTGTGGACAAACTCAAGAGGCTGCGTGAGAAGTAACACAGATGACTAAGTGCATTGTTAATGGTGTTGCTTCATGCCTCAGTAATGTGGTGAATTCTTTTTAGTTGCATTTGAAAGAAACTAACTTACTGTGTATAATTTCAATACTTTTGTGTGCTTTTAAATGTGTCCCGCTAAGAAGAGACCTCTTCTTACAGGTTTTGAAGGGACAGTGCTGTCAGTGATCCTAAGTATCCATTTCCAAACCTGTGGGTTTCTTAGGCTGTTGCTCGTGGGTTAATAGTGCAGGGTGCAAGTGACAGGATCCCACACAGCCAGCAGGGCTTGTGTGATCTTGGTCTGCAGTACCTTTTGGGGAAACCATGTTATCATGGGAGACATGAAGCAAGACTGAGCCAGTTGGTATGTTACTTGTTGTTGTTATTTTGTTCTGGAACAGCTAATTACCAATACTGTGCATTAGTGCAGTGGGCAGGATGGTCACAGAGCAGTCCCTGTCCTTGTCAGCTGTCCCCTCTGGTGGCACTGGGAGTGGTGTTGGCAGATCCTATTGCTGCAGTGAGAGAGACCATGGGTACGGGGGAGGGACCTGCTTTCCTCCGGCAAGCTATTGCCCTGGGTGTGACAGTCCTGATGTTTGAGTAACACAAACGGGATAGGAATTACATTTGGAACCTAGTTACTTTCAGTTTTTAATCTCTGCATCTTTCTATTCTAATCCAGGGGCAACGTTAGAGGAAATAAACCAGCACTGGGACTGGCTGGAGCAGAATCTCCTCCATACTTTGTCTGTCTTTGACAATAAAGATGACATTGTCAGCTTTGTCAAAGGAAAAGTAAAGGTGGGTCCCTTGGTTTTAATATTTCCCCATTTTTTAAATCACTTTCTTACGACATCTCGAACACTGCAGTGTATTAAGCCTTCTCTCCTCTAACCCCATTTTTGATTTTTTTGTGTGTGTGGGGTGGTGGTGGTGGTACCAGAGATTGAACCCAGGACCTTGCACTTGCCAGGCAGGCATGGCATCACTGAGCTACATCCCTGGCCCTCTAACTCTATTTTTTAGCTGACTACATAAAGCCAAATGAGTTCAACTGTCAAACTTTGCAGAGTCAGGTCCAGAAAACATGCCTGAAATTACAGTAAGAAAGACTTCACCCTTAGGCCCAATTTCTATTATCTTTTATAGAAATGCAGGCCCTTTGTTCATCTTGGGGAAAAAAACCCATCATGTTGGGATTTCTGTTTCTGTTTTTGAACAGCACATTATTTGACTCCTTAAGTTAGTTATTCCCAACTTTTTTTTTTTTGGTAGCTGTGACATTTTGTTGTCATTTTTTTGGACCTCGCAGTTTCCTTCTGCTAATCGTGGGTGTTTACTCTTAAAATATGTTCATTAAATGGAATTAAGACCAATAAAGCTTTGAGAAAGCAGAGAGGACTATTTGGGGAAGTATTTGTTGGTCCCTCCTATGAGTTTTCATTTTATATAACTGGTCTTCTCACAATAACAGGTAGGATAATCAGTGCTTTAAAACTGGGAGAGACAGTTTCTTACTCTAAATTTAACTCTCTCATTAGACACTTGAACTCATTAGCCTGAAGCAGAGTTTTCCTCTCTTAGGGTAAAACATCTCAGACCTTGGATTTTATTTTTCTTCAAGTGTTATGGCTTTTGCTTAAAGGGTATGAGAGCAAAAGTTTGAGTTTAGAGGAACATAATAGAAGTGCTGTTTTCTGTAGACTGGGGACACTTACGCGATCAGGGAAAGGAAAGGCCGCCTCAGTCCAGCTGGTCTGGCAGTGTGACTGGTGTCCTCTGAGCATGACCCTTGGCCTGTGGGGTCGGGGTGGGCCTGGCCATCATGGGGATGTGTCCAGCTCTGGGGCTGCCTCCACATACTGGACCATCTGAGTGTGGCTCAGCTCCCTGCAAGTGATGGCACTGGGGCTTGGCTATGGTGCTGCCCCTTACACTCAGTGCATCTTTCTTGGTCTCATGTAGATTATTGTGGGTTTTTGATCTAGGTATTTCTTTTAGTTAGGAGAAGGAAGATTCATTTCTGCTGCAAAGGCTTTAGAAACGTTTCTGTAAGAGAAGAACACTTTTCTTCTGTCCTTCTGGGTTCTGTGGCTGGGGCCCTGGAAATTAACCCGACACAAGACAGATTAACAAGAAAAAATAAACGGACTAATGTATGCAGGATGCATACACAGAAACTCTGCAGTAATGAGCTCGAAGGGTGGTTAGAAAGGACATTTTATAGGGTCCTAAGAAAGAACAGTAAGTTTGCAGAGGAGAGACATGACAAAGGAAAAGGAGTGTAGGTGTTTGGAGTCACAGACTGAGGGAAAGGTAAACATATGGGGGAAAGTAATAGAATAGGGCTGTTTTCATAAGGCTTGTTAAGTGAATTCCTTGCAGTGCCATCTCTGGTGAAGAAGAGTCCAAGTCCTGGGCTGGGGATGTGACTCAGTGGTAGAGCACTTGCCTAGCATGTGTAAGGCCCCAAGTTCAGGTCTTACCGCCACCACTGAAAAAGAAAATTAAATTCCCTCTTCCTAGTGAAACAGTTAATTCTGTGTAAACCAAGCTCACAATAGCCTCACAAAGGTGAAGAATGAAACTGCAGGCAAAAGGGGGGAAGTTAGGGGAGTATTTATTGGAAATTGGAAGAGAAATGGCTGCTGTCTCCAGGAGGGCATTCTGAATGGAAGTCCAAATTGTCTTATTTGTCCCACTCTTATATGAATAAGCAGAATGCAGGAAAAGCGTGTTTCAAAGAAGACAAGTTAAAGGAAACCAGTTATTTTGTATTTCTAATGCTTCTCAGAAGTCCCATCGGAGGCAGGGAGGAACTGTCCCCTGACTTAGCAGGTTCTGCATAGGAACTTTCTTCCTGGGAGGAAAGGTTCTTATCTTCCCTTTTACCCAAACATTTATCTTTCTTGGCTCGGTGTGTGTGCTGTTTGCTTTTGCCCAGCCTACTCTGGCTGAGACTACCCTGACTGCACACTTCGAAGCTAAATAACTAACCCATTACACTAGCACTGAGAGGAAAATCCCTGGACAGATGGAGATTGGGTCCTGGTTTTAGGTGGGGCCCATGTCTTCTGTTTCTCAGTTGTCTTCAGCTTGAAATCCTTATGCTAGAGTGGCGTATTTTGAGGTGACAAATTCAGATCCTTGGTGCTGTAAAACTGAAATACTTCAAAAGCCAGCCACGAGGAAGCAGGGCTGGGAGGGAGTCAGAGTACAAGCTGGCCTTGTTCGCTTCTCTCTTGTGGCTCTGGCCACCTTTCAGAGCGATGGACAGGTGAGGGTGTTGTGGCACAGCGCAGATTCCTCAGGTTCGGTGGCCATCCGTCCTGGCCACCTCCCCTTTGCCCCCTCCCTGGATAAGGGTCATCTCTCTCTGCCACAGGCCCTGATCGCCGAGGAGACCAGCAGCCGGGTGGCCGAGCAGGAAGAGGAGCCTGAGAAGTTCCGAGAGGCCCTGGTGAAGTTTGCAGCCAGGTTCAACTTCCCCGAGGCCGAGAAGCTGGTCACCTACTACTCCTGCTGCTGTTGGAAGGGCCGGGTGCCACGCCAGGGCTGGCTGTACCTCAGCATCAACCACCTCTGCTTTTACTCCTTCTTCCTGGGAAAGGAGCGTGAGTGCTGCCCCACCATTGCAGCCTGCAGCCCTGGGGTCCTCACAGATACAGGTGCCCCTGGGGGTGGTTAGTGTTGCTCCCACCTAAACTCATTAGCATCAAGAGCCCCCAGCACAAGCTTGAAATAAGTGCTCGAGGTGACTGCAGTGATACTCGGTTAGTTTGCAGATGACTTGTGCAGATAATTATCTGTAATTATGTGTCCTCCTTCTCCTGGAGGGTTTGATTTGGGGAGAGTCCCTTGTCCCCATTGCCTTAAGATTTCTCTATCGCTCACTTCAAATAGCTACAGAGAGCCAGGCATGGTGCTACATGCCTGTAATCCCGGCACTCAGGAGGCTGAGGCAGGAGGATCGCCATGAGTTTGAGACCAGCCTGGGCTACATAGTGAGTTCAAGGCCAGCCTGAGTTACATGGCAAGACCCTGTCTCGACTCCCTCCTCCCCCCCCCCCCCCGCCAGCTAAACAAACAAACAAAAAACAAATGGCTATGGAGAGGTTCTTGCTACTGTTGATCTCTTTGGAAATAGTGTAACTAACTGGTGGGTGAATATTTCTTTTTAAATATTTTAAATTAAATTTTATTTTATCCACCCCACCCAAGTCCCTCCCCTCCCTATGTACAAAAGCTTTGTTTCCATTTTTTCCTTCTATTTTCACTTTGGTGGCTGAATATTTCTAAGGGAGAATGTCTTCCTGCAAGGGGGGTCGGCATTTAAGAAATGCCCAGCCCTGGAGGTCACGACTACTGGGTGCACAGTTGCTTCTAGAGAGGGAATTCTTCAGTGGGGCCTACTGGAGATTTAGGCACTGACTGATGTCGCATGTTTTTTTCTGGCCACGTGCACTGTCCTGGGTGGTGGGATTCCAAGGTGAAAAAGGAAGGCACAGAGTCAATTGTATGTTGGATGCTTAGGAGCCGTTCCCCTGGGCACTGCTTTCAGAGCCCGGCACCATTTCCAGCGCCCATGCAGCTGGCACCCTTGTTGCACACACATGTGCATACATGTATATATATTTTTTCTTTATGTTTCAAGTGGAACCAGGGCAGGGGCTGCTCTTGTCTGTCTGCTGTGACCAGCCTCCTGCACACTGTTTTCTCCTTCTTCCTTTGCAGCCTCTGTGCTGATGCTCCAGGACATACTCCTTGTCGAACAGCCCTCTCCCATCTTGGAATGTGCTCTGGCCTAACCTTGGCCGTTGCCAGTTTTCTCCTTTCTGAAAAAATGCTTCTCTGAATGAACATGCTGTTTTCCTTCTTTCTCTATACTTAGCCCGTTTGGAAACTCCTGTTCATCTTTCAAAACCCCATTTGGATTTTGTTATCTCCGGGAAGCCTCTCCTAGGCCCCATATCATTTGCACCTGTGTTTGTGCTTCTGGGTTCTGTCGTGTGGATGGTTACTGACTTGTTGGTGTGCTTTCCTGTTTGAGGCTCTTCCCAGAGCAGCTGCTCAATGGTGGTGTGGTGGAGAGCGTGTGTGGTAGAGAGCGTGTGTGTCAGAGATGTTGTGTGAGAACACCTAGAAATAGCTGGGGAAGCCAATTCTCGAGCCTGCTGTAAAAATGAGGCCTTTTAAAGCTATTAAAGCACTGAAAAGTATTGCAAAGTAAATGGAAAGAAATTATAGACATACAACAACCTTTCTGTACACAATTTGAAAAGGAAATATTTTCTGACGCTTTTAATGATTTGTCATTAAACCTGTTAGGATGACAATATTTTGGAAGAAACGAATGCCTCTTAGTATAGGATGATGTTGATCATTGTAAGTTACCTGTCTCTGATAAACCTGCCACGAGAGCTCAGACTGTTTCCCCCCTGTATCCAAAACACTTTTGAGAACAGAACACCTGTTTCATTTTCACTATATGACTTTGTTTTTTATTTTATTTTATTTTATTTTTTGGTACCTGGGATCGAACTCCAGTCCTTGCACTTGCGAGGCAGGCGGCAGACCCACTGAGCTAAATCCCCAGCCCCTTACTTTGTTTTTTAAGAGACAGGGTCTCACTGTTTCACTGTTTTGCTCAGGTTGGCCCTGTAGTTATAGGCTCTAGCCATTCTCCTGGCTCAGCCTCCTCAGTACCTAGGTTTACAGGTGTGTACCACTGTGCCCAGGTATACTGTAATAGTTTAGATTGTTTGGAAGAAACTGCTTGTGCCGTCTTCTTAGCCTAACACCTGTCATCTGACACATTAAATGTTTAGCCCATTTCTGAAAATGACATCATGAATAATCCACACTCCTTCTTCCTCTAGCTTGCACCATGAATGCTGTTTTCAAAACCAGAATTTGTGTGGATTGGGAAACTTCTGCATGACTATTTAGATATCTTTGAGAAAGTTTGTGCGCTGTTGGCTTCTTATTCCAGAATCACTTTCCTTGGGAATATGCCCCAGCCAGCAACTGAGAGGTTTCTCTTAAATCGATGAGGGAACCACTGGAACATGCGTGGGGGTTCACAGGCTGTCAAACGGTTCTGTGTTTTTCTCCCTCCTCTGGCTTAAAAGACGTTTGCATTTCAGTTGCAAAGAAGTTCTGGACTGTTGCTTGCTGATACACGCAGGTGTGGCTCAAATCTTCTTGTTGTAAGATGCATTTGCCCTTTTTCTCTTGCAGTTAAACTTGTCATCCCTTGGGTTGATATCCAGAAATTGGAAAGAACATCCAATGTGTTCCTCACCGACACCATCCGGATCACCACGCAGGATAAGGAGCGAGACTTCTCCATGTTTCTGAACCTGGACGAAGTGTTCAGGATCATGGAGCAGCTGGCGGACGTGACACTCCGGAGGTTGCTGGACAACGAGGTCTTCGACCTGGACCCAGATCTGCAGGAGCCGAGCCAGATCACCAAAAGGTGGAGCTTGAGTTCCATGGTATCCTTTACCTGTATGGGGAACTCATGCTCAGGGCTCAGCCTTCCTTTCTGGCAGCCTTTGTTGCATAGCAGCCCTCTATGCCACCAGGGCATGGGTCGCAGGACCTCTGTGGATATCAAAATCTGGGGATGCTCAAGTCTTATATAAATCGGTGTAGTATTTGCATAGAATCTATGCATGACCTCCTCTGTGCTTTACAAAAATCATCTCTAGATGACTTACAATACCTCCAATAATGTAAATACCATGTAAATACTGTAGTTATACTGCATTGTTCAGGGAATAATGATAAGAAAGAGTACATGTTTAGTGCACATGTATTTAAAAATTTTTTTTCCATTTGAATCTAAGGACACAGACCTTGTATACAGAGGGCCAGATATACTAGGTTTAATTTCTTTTGTGGTATAACCCAACTTTTCCTATGTTGTTAATCTCGACAGAGGCAATAGTTAGAAATGATTATCATTCGTTTCCCATATGCAGCAGACTTTGATTTTTAGATCCAGTTCTCCATTTTCTTGGATATTATTTCAAAATTGATGTTCATAAAAAGCACTTCTAGAACATGTAATATAGGTATCCTCATGATAGAAATCTATGAAGTACTTTGTTTTGTTAGTCAACATTTAAGACATTCCCTCCTTTCCTCCTTTCTCTCTTTTCGTTTTTAAATGGTGGTAGGGATTGAACCCAGTGCCTTGTGCATGCCAGGCAAGTACTCTACCACTGAGCCATTAAAATACTTTTCACATTAAAATGCTCTGTAGAAAAAGTTTCCACACAGCAAATTTTTTTGATGCCAGTTTGTCATCAAATATGTACCTACGTGATAGAGTAGGTCAATATTCTTTATTAATTTGTTTGACCTGAAGTGTTGCTGGTCACACAAACTTGTGAAATAGTTGCTTGAATCCTCACATTAAGGGAGATTAATTCTGTTGTCTGAAATTCTGAACGTGGTGTGTGAGCTTGAGTTTGACTTTGGGGCTTGTGGATTACAACTGGGTAACTACAGCGCTTATCTGAAGGTATCTTCACCAAACAAGTTACCAGGAAGTGCTATCCTGGTTAGATGTTTTTGATATAACTTTAGACAGTTACTACTATGTGAATACAAATAGTCATTATACAAAATCTTTTCTATTGTAAAATACAGGTAACATAAATTTTACCATTGTAACCATTTTAAAGTGTACAGTCACAGTGCCACGAAGTGGATTCACACTGTTGTACAACCATCCTCACTGCCATCTCAGAGCTTTTATCTTGCATAAGTGAAGTTACACCTCCTTCCAACCAACTCTCTTCATTTTTCCACCATCTCTGGCAACCACCATTCTACACTTATTGGGTCTCACAGAAGTGGGATCATACAGTATTTGCGGTCTTGTAGTTGGGTGATTTCCCTGAGCATCATGTTCTCATGGCTCACTCAGGTATAGCATAGGCATGTCAGGTTTTTCTTCCTTTCTAAGCCAATATTCCAATGTCTGCCTACAACACGTTTTATTTATCTGCTCTTGTGTGGATACTTGCTTGAGTTGCTTCCACCTTCTTGGTATTGTGAATAATGCTGTGATGAACGTGGGTGTGCACATTTATTCTATTTTTTTTTTTTTGGTACTGGGGATCGAACTTGGGACCTTGTGCTTGCGAGGCAGGCGCTGGAACCACTGAGCTAAATCCCTGGCCCAAATTACTGCATCATTTTTTTGTTTGTTTGTTTTTTGTTTTTTTGGTACTGGGGATCGAACTCGGGACCTTGAGCTTGCAAGGCAGGCAGTGGAACCACTGAGCTAAATCCCCAGCCCTGGGTGTGCGCATTTATCCAAGACCCTATCTCAGTGCTCTTGAGTCTACACCCAGAAGTGGAATTGCTGGATCATATGGCAATTCCGTTTTTAGGTTTTAAGGAACCACTAGCCATGAATCATGTACTTTAAAAGTTTTTAATCTGTTTTAACATTCTGTCTGCCTTCTTTTCCATTGAACTTCCTTGGAAAATATCCAGGAGACAAGTGAGAGGTAGGCAGTGTGCTTCTGCTGCTTTTGGAGCAGCATATAGTACTGCAGTGTCAGAGTTTTTTGTATGGTCATCAGCAGCATCTCTTACTTTTTCTGAGCTTTAGTCTTCTATACATCTACTGGATGACCTACCAAGGGTTGAGCATTCCTAATATGAAATGCTTTGAAAACCCATGTTGGAGAAGTTTCAGATTTTCAGATTAGGGAGGCTCAACTGGTGAAGTCCATGAAAATTTTCCAAAATCTGGAAAAACTCAAATACTTTTGGTCCCAACCATTCATTCATTTAATCATTTATTTATTTTTAAGACAGGGTCTCATTATGTAGCTCAGGCTGGCCTTGAACTCCTGGTACTCCTCCTGCCTCAGCTGCCCGAATTCTGGGACTACAGACATGTGCCATCACATCCAACTTCCAAGCATTTTGGATAAGGATACTTAACCCATACTAAGTTCCTTCAAAGGTCTAATGTCTGGTGTTCAATAATAATATAAAGGGTTTTAAAAAATAGACATATTACTCTTTGCATGCGTGCTGCCTTTTCTTAACATCTCGGGGAGTGTCTTCCTGAATGGCCCACGAACAGCAGGGTATTTAGTTGCCTTGCATTCGGAAAGGGCTCAGATCTCTCTGCTGTGTGCAACATCTTAGACTGATCATGTATCATCCCAAGTAAGGCAAAAATCAAAACAACTACTCTTTTGTGGTGAAACTTCTACAAGTTTTATGTGGTTTGGGGTGACCTCTAATAATGTGAAAGTTTTGTTTTGAGAGAGCCTTGTAAAAGGAGGTGTGTGGGCTAGTGCTTTGGCTTTTATACCCCTCGCTCGAGTGCCTCTCAGCCCCAGGGCCCTCAGTGTGGTTCCCAGCTCCATTTTAGGGTCATCTGTTCTAAAAGACAAGAGCCAGGGATGTAGGTCAGCGGCACAACACCTGCCTGTCAAGCAGGAGGGCCTGAATTCGATCCCTGGTACCAAAAATAAATAAAAGGAAGACATCCCAGTGTAGTGTAAGCCACACTCTCCCGTATTTCCTTACATATCACTATGATAGTTGGTATCCAAGTCTTTTTAGTCTAGTTTATAAAGATCTGTTAAAAAAAGGAAAAGGCCACCATTACAGAGCCCTGAAGAAGGGCGTTCCAGGTGTGTGTTACTAAGTGCTTGTGTAAACCACCAGTTCAGATGTGACCTCTGTCCTATACACACAATTGTGGCATCTGTACTTGTTCAAAGTGCAGCCAGGTTGGCCTGGGTGGGGCCTGTCCTGGTGCTCCGCGGCTTGGAACTCAGGTGGTATCCTGGCACAGCTCCACTTTGAGATGTGGCAGTTGTGGTTTGTGGCAGAAGGAAAGAACAGGAAGACTGAAGGTCTATAACACCTAATTCCCCTCTGGAAATGTGTTTTGGAAGAAGAATCATCTGCACTGGCAGCCTTTGTTTACCTTCCAGAATTGAGGGGAGATATGAGGCTGCTTCTCGCCCCCACCCCCCACCACATTCTACTCTAGGAACCACTGGAAGAGAGAAAATGACCCATAGGGCTTTTGGGGTGGCCAGTGGCCCAGCTTCCAGGGTGCCCAGGGCTGGCCCTAGGCACAGGGGGACCTAGTCGACACTGTCTAGGCCCTGCACGCTGTGGGACTTCCACCCGGATGGGAGCTCACCACAGCCTCCCAGCCCCTGCTAGTTCTCATCTGTAGCCTTTGCCATGGAGACGCTGGCCTGTGGATGTAAACAGGTAATGACTCAGTCCGCCTGGCATCCTGCCAGAGGGGCCAGGTTTGAAAGTTTAGGAAAATGGCTCTCTGAGCTCAGGGGCAACAACCGTGCTGGAATGCCCCCCTGTGTCTCTGTGGTGGGTCTGCTTTCACTTCCTGTCCCAGATAACAGCTTTCCAAGGGAGCCCTTGGATTCCTGAGCCAGTAAGGAGCATCTGATTACCCGTCAATCACCTTGTCCTGTGGTCACTTCAGTGGGACTGATGGAGCTGGACAGTATCGGGCTCACACCTCTACACTCTCCACGGGACAAGTGGGACGATCTCTTGTCACCCTGACTGGACCTGTGGGAGCTACAGGGGCTTGGGACTCATCCAGCCTGGTTCACAGATACATAGCACACCTGAACCAGTGATCCTCAGGTGCATCATCCCAAGGCTGTACAGGCAGAGTGACGGGGGGGAGGGGCCACCCATAGAGACGCCCACCCATAGAGAACACAGGGGAGGAGGCAGGGGTGAGTTGATTGATTTCCAAACAGAAAATACTCTCCTGAAGCTGGGCCGGGGAGGCTGAGAAGAGTGTCTCCAGTACTCAGGTGGGCAGCGATGGAGGAGATGGGCCTCACCTAATAGGAAGCAAATGGAAACTTTCCCGTGATCCAAGCTTCTGACCTTTTGAAAGGTGAGCAGTGGCTTCCAGGGGACAGAGCCCAGTCCTTATCACCTGGGTGATTCTAAATGCCCCATCTGTCTGGCTTCACAGATTCCTTTGGGCTTTCCCCACGCAGTCCTCTCCCTGCACTTCTCTCCGGCACCCACAAAAATGCACACTTCACATCCATCCCATTCAAGTGCCCGGCCCCAGCAGCAGTCAGGCCTCTCAGCCCTCACTGTCTCCTCTCCATGACCTTCAGACCCCCGCACAGGATGGTTAGGAAGGGAGAGGCAGGAACCTTTCTTGGGAGTGAAAAGTGCCACTGATGTTGTGTTATTGAGGCCTTGGTCTCCTGGGGAGTCAGTGTCCACAGACTGCCAAGGAATGGACGGGCTGTGGGTACCTCCAAGCTCACCTTCACATGACTACGAGCTGTCTGGGGCCCAGGTGGGCCTCATGTCCTGGCCTGTCCTGTCCTGTCCTGTGAATGCTCCTGGCTCCTGTGCGTTCTGTAACAGTGGGCTTGTTGTAGGACCATCCTGTCATTTCCTTAGGGCTCGTGGGTCACTGGGAAAGATGTTTTGAGTTAGCACACATTTGATAAATGAGATATTTATGTGCACACCAGGGTGTTGAAACACACTTCTGCCTCATTTCCAGACTGGTAATTCTTGGCATTTCCCAGAGTTGAAGTGCAAAGGGCACAGGGCTGGGAGTGGCCATGTAACCGAGAGTGGCAGGAAGGACCCTTCATGTGCTCCATTAGGAGGCAGGCTGGTCACAGAGATCCCAGTTACTCTTGGCCCGTGGCACCCTGTCTAGGGCCCAAGTGGGAAATCCTGGAGTGTTGAGCTGGTTGGGGAAGAGGGGTAATGCATGCAGTCTAGAACTCTCTTCATAGCAGTCAAACATGACTGCATGCATTGATTTCAGCTTCAACAACAGTTTGTTGCTGGGCCCAGCCCATTTCTTCCTTCCTATTAGAGGGCTGTACCATAGTGTAGGGTGGTTGGTGGTTCGGGGCTCTGTTGGTCTCAGCCATAGCATTCTTAGACCAGTAGCTTGGGTCTGTGCATGCCAGCACCTTCTGGGCCAGGCTTCATCCTCGAGGGTGCTTCTGTAGTGGCCCTGTGAGAGCTATGCCTTCTGTACATCGGGTCGTGACCGCTGTCTGCCAGTCTCGTTTATGGAAGGAAAGTGGAGACTGTAGTATTGGAAGGTCCAGGAGGCACACCTGAGCTTGTGGGCTTTGTTCTGTTTTTCTTTTTTGGTACTGGGGATTGAACACAGGACCTGCTTGCAAGGCAGGTGTGGCGCCACTGAGCTAAATCCCCGGCCCTTGTGGCCTTTGTTCCTGATGTTAAAAAAGGAGTTGATAGGATTAGCATCAAAACTATCACCTGCCACCTTGAAACACACTCCAAGGATGGTCTTACTCTTATTTTCCAGAAGAGCTGGTTTCTCTTCTCCCAGGATGCTCCATTTTTACCTCAGTTATGCTTGAAATTTAAATATGGATATCATACATGCATAAGGCGAAATGAAAAGACAACTTGCTAGTAGGGAGGAAAGAAAATCACTCAGTTCTTAAAAGTCCTTCCTGCTGCTTTCTTTTTTTGTGACTTGAGGTTTCTGGTTGCTGGCTACCCAAATACGCTCAGTAAGGAGAATAGAGACTGTTGAGGCTGCAGGTGCACTGGGTAGAGAGCTAACTGTTCTTAGAGACCTCAACACTTTGTTTTTTTTTTTTAAAACACCTTATAATTATGAGGGATTGGGTGCAAAGTAAATGTAAGTCCTCCTCTCCTTCCTGGAGCTCAGTGTGAGGTGATTTGGTTTCTGCCCCTTACCATTATTTTCACTCTGGCTTTGAGCAGCTCCTGCAGGGAAGGGAAGAAGTCATTCCTGGGAGGAACAAGGGAAGCCACTGGTACCAGAGCCACGTGTATAGGATGCTACATGGAGTAAGCATGGACTTAACTTTCATCAGAGGCAGGGGGCCCAGCATGATTCTGGGATGAAGATGTCAGTTTTCTGTTTTATTTGTATTTATTATTTTTATTTAAAAATTTTTAACTGATTAAAAAATAACAATTTTACATGTTAATGGGGTATAATTTGGCATTTTGATACTTGTATATATTGTGTAATGCTTAAATCAGGTTAAACGTCCCTACTCAAACATTTATCATTTCTTTGAGGTGGAAAATATTCAAATATTTAAAATCCTTTCTCATAGCTTTTTATGAGTGCAGTACATGGTTGGGTTTTTTTGGTTTGTTTTTGCTTTTGGCACCGGGGATTGAACTCGGGACCTTGCACTTGCGAGGCAGGCGTCGAAACCACTGAGCTAAATCCCCGGCCCATACATGGTTGATATCTATAGTTACCCTGCTGTGCAGCGGCACTGGAGAACTCCTTGTCCTTCTCTAACTTAGTGCCCATTAATCAACCTTTCTCTACCCCTCTCTCGAAGGTGGCTGGTAACTACCATTATCCTTTCAGCTTGATGAGATACTTTTTTAAGATTTAAACTTGAACAGCTGGCTCATGAGGAACTTGGGATCACTGCGAGGGGCCTTGCCTTCCATTCTTGGGGACCTTCTGGAGGGTGTGAGGTGGGTCTCTGTGTTCTCCTGGCACCCCCTGGAGGAAGTGTAGGTGTGTAGACTTTTTCATTTCAATAATTTTATTGAAAGGTATATTCTTTTAGTCTCAAACATAATTGTAGTTGGCTAGGGTACCTCTGCCAACTCAAAATTAATACTGATGTTTTCAAAATATTGAAATATATCAGCCTTATGGTAAAACTGAAGTTATCCACAAAATGTGGTTTACAAAAAGTAAAAGGTAGAATTTACTGTGGTTCTTTGGTTTATTTTTCAATGCTTATTCATCCTTAACACGATGTCAAAATTGGTTACATCCATTCTGGGTAGGCTCAGGCTTCAGGCTATACTAACTGTTTACAACACTAACAATATATATACCATCTACATGTAGACTCTTGTATTTAATTCATGTGTGGTATAATTCACCCCTTAAAGGTACTATTCATTTTTTATCATATTCATAAAACGGTGGACCCATCACTACAATCAGTTTTATAACATTTTATATCCCCCCAAAGAGACCCCATGTTCATAAACAGCCGTGCATAATTTCTGCGTCTCCCTTAACCCCTGCACAATCGCTCCTCTATTTCTGACTCCACAGGCTGCCTATTCTAGAATTCATGTAAATGGAATCAGGTACTATGTGGCCTTTTTGTGTCTGGCTTCTTACAACATCATGCACTGCTACTTCATTCCTCTTTTTTTGTGAATAATATCTATCCTACAGCGATATACAGCCATTTATCCACTCATCAGCTGATGAAAATTTGTAGTTTCTGTCTTTCAGTTATTGCAAATGAGATTGCTATAGATATTTGTGTGCAAGTCTGTGAGGGGACATTCTGTTTTCTTGGATATGTAAACTAGGAGTGGAGTTTCTGGGTCAGATGGTGAGTCTGTCTTTTTAAACCTCCCAAGGTGCTATCAGGCGTTCTCCACACAGCTCACCATTTTACGTTTCCTCCAGGAGAGTGTAAGGCTCCCAACTCTCCCCATCGTCATCATCACTTCTTATTATCTGACTTTTTATACTTGGCTTCTTTGGCCATTCTGGTGGTGATTTTCAGTGTTACTCAAACTAGGAAGAAATCCGTATTTTGGATTCACTAAATAAATGATTTCTGTCAGGGACAGCACATGGCCTGTGAGTGGGTTGTGAAGGGCAAAGGGCTGGCAGGCTGGGGTGAGGATACAGCACCTTTCCACACTCACCTATCAGGTTGTGCCAGTAGGTACCGAGCATCTCCCTCTGTCACCTTGCGGGTCCTCTCACCTCTCTGTCAACTCACAGTCCACTCACCCTGCTCCCTCTTGTCCTCTCCTGCCTTGCCCAGGGACCTGGAGGCGCGGGCACAGAACGAGTTCTTCCGAGCCTTCTTCCGGCTGCCCCGGAAGGAGAAGCTGCGTGCCGTGGTGGACTGCGCCCTCTGGACGCCCTTCAGCCGCTGCCACACCGCGGGCCGGATGTTCACCTCCAACAGCTATATCTGCTTTGCTAGCCGCGAGGACGGCCGCTGCACTGTGGTCCTGCCACTCCGAGAGGTAGAGCACTGCCTCTGCCACCTGCCATGCACTTCCTTTTTTTTTTAGTTTTTAATTTTGTGAGTACATGCTTGCAGTATGTAATGATCACATTCCTCATGAGGAGTTGGTACATGTGCACAATCGGTACATTCATCTCTTGGTCCCCTCCCCATTTCCTAAAGTTCTGTCTCCCTGTTCCCTGGGATCTATATTTTGCTCTATATTGTGCGTTGAGTTTCTCATATAAGAGAAATCGTGTGATATTGAAGCTTGTGTGTCTGATTTATTTCACTTAACATTATGGTCTCAGGGTGCATCCATTTTCCTACAAAGGTTTATCTTTCGCTATGGCAGAGTAGTGCTCCATTGTGTATAAATGCCATATTTTCTTTATCCATTCATTTGTTATTCCCCCTGTAGGTGTCTTTTCGAAAGAGTTAAAGACTCACTGTGGTTATTGTACATAACCGTGTTTAGAGCAGCAGAACTCATGCACTTCCTGAAGCAGCCTCTGTCACCTGCACCCCTGAAGCCCGTCTTTCTCTTGCTGTGACAATGCTTAAGGCTGAGTACACTTATGTCACAAGAAGTTGATGGTGCTTGCAAGGCTCAAGAGTGTGATACCAGCTGTGCTCAGTACTGGTGCTGGCTCCTGGGGAGTGGCGTTGTGGTGGCAGGAATGTGTGTGAGAAGGAGAGGTCATGTGGTTAGACGGGAGCTCCAGAGTCCCAGAGAGGGCATGCCCTGATCTCACCACCCTCACCAGGCCCCATCTCTCAAGGACCCCACACCTCTTAATACCACCCCAATGGGAACCAAGCTTCTCACACACTAACTTCGGGAAAAGCCTTCCTGCCTTATCCAAAGCAGATCAACCGCAGTCCTGGCTGTGGGATGGGACATGGGAGGGGATGATCGTACAGCCATCTGAAGGTGGACATCTAGGTAGCCAGGCTTTTTGAGGGAAGTAAGACCTGAATTGGACCATTACCGCTTCTCTTGTTTCTGTGGCAACCTGACATTCGCCTGGAAGTGATGGGTGAGAAGAGAATATGCTCACCTCCACATTATTGATAAAGCTATTACTAAAAAGTACATGTACAATTACAGCTTTTCCAACAGCTCTTAGGAAAGAATCTTCCCCTTTCACTCACCCAAAAAAGAAAAAAGCCACCTTTAAAAAGCTTCATATTTGGGGGCTGGGGATTTAGCTCAGTGGTTCCACCGCCTGTCCAGCAAGCACAAGGACCCAAGTTCGATCCCTGGTACCAAAAAAAAAAAAAAGCTTCATATTTGGAAAATAAATGGCAAATTACTTGGCTCTTCTCCTGGAACTTGAGTTAAGGATTTTAAAATGCTTCTTTTATGGATTGGGTCCTTTCTTCATAAGCTTGTACAATTCTCTTCTTGGAAATTGGGGGGAACTTCAGTTTGCTTTCAGACCTGAGCAGCTCCATCCTTTGGTTCCAGGCATCACTGCTGAGATGGGACTACAACCCCTTCCCATCAAGCCCTCGGGAGTCTCGCTTCTGTCCAGAGCAGTGTTCTTTACCATCTCCCACTTCCATGTTACCATTCTGCAGTAGATGTGTTCATTTTACAAATATTCTTATCAGTGGACCAAGAAATTGAGAAGATGCTTCATGTATTTTAAAATTTTTTTTCTGGTACCATGTGTAACCTAAAGTTTACCATCATAATCATTTTAAGTGTGAAGTTCAGCCACTTTAAGTGCAGCCGTCACTACCATCCATCCACCTCTAGAACCTTTTGATCTTTTCAGCCTGAAACTCTCCCCTCTCTCCACCCTGGCCTCCACCAGATAACTGTGTCCTCATGAAGCTGACTGCTCTGGGTACCTCATATAAATGGACTCATTCAGCATGTATTTGTCATTTTGCAGCTGATTTATCCTACATAGTATAGTGTCCTGAAGGTTCATCTATGTTACAGCATGGGCTGGAATTTCCCTTTTAAGACCAAATGCTATTCTGTCACATGTGTGTGCCGCAGCTTGCTTTCCCATTTGTTACCTAGTGGACCCTCGAGCTGTGGCTGTGAAGATTGCCACCTTGCACCCTTTACCCTTCGTACAGTCCTTATGCAGTGCTGTGTTTGCCTTCCCTCTCGGAGTAGTTTGTGAGCGTCTCACTAAGTGCCCACCTGCCTTCCTTACTGTACTGTGCCTGTTGTGTTTTGCGCCAGGTCGTGAGCATCGAGAAGATGGAGGACACGAGCCTGCTGCCCAACCCCATCATTGTCAGCATCCGCAGCAAGATGGCCTTCCAGTTTATCGAGCTCAGGGACCGGGAGGGCCTGGTGGAGAGCCTGCTGGCGAGACTGAAGCAGGTCCACGCTGACCACCCCGTGCACTACGACTCCTCACCAAGTGACGATGACATGGTAGGAATCCTCAGGGTGGCAGCCCTCCCTGACCTGAACCCCCTGCTCTCTGCTTTCTGGTGGAGAGGTGGGCTGGAGGCCACAGTACTTTGTGCTGGTCTGGTGTCACACCGATGCACTGGATGGCTCTGTGGGGTTACACGGATCAGGGGTGCCAACGGCTTGTGTACTGCACAGCTTGGAGAGTGACGTGTACCCCACATGTTTAATGGCTGGTGGCATAATGCGGAGGTGGGAGGGGTTGACATGACACCCCACTGGGGTGGGGACCTTCCTGTGACGTTGAAGGATGTGATGTCCCCGTCCCCAGTGGGGCAGAGGATGTTATTTGGGGCAGATAAGACCTGATGGGAGAAAAGCTTCATTGCCATGTGGTTGGACAGCTGCAGTAGACTGGGTTTGTTAGGTTTGTTTCTGTGATTGTCTTGAAAAATATATTTTTATTTCTATTTTTACTTATTAATTGTTGGTGGTACTGCAGATGAAACCTGTGACCTTTGCACTGAGCTACATCCCTAGCTCTTTTTTAGTTTTTTATTTATAGGGTCTCACTAAGTCACCAAGTTGCCCAGGGTGGGTTTGAACTTGTGATCCTCCTGCCTCAGCCTCCCAGAGTGCTAGGATTACAGGCATGCACCACCACACCTAGGTAATATATTTTTATTTTTTTATTTTTAATTTTTATTTTTTTGGTACAGGGGATCGAACTCGGGTCCTTGCGCTTGCGCAGCAGGTGGCGAAACCACTGAGCTAGATCCCCGGCCCTTTGTTTTTATTTTAATTGACACATCATTGTGCATATTTTCTCTTCTCGCTCTCTCTTTTTGCCCTGCAGACGACACCTGTGTTTTACTCAAGCATGTGCGGTGACCACAGGTTTGGGGACCTCGAAATGGTGCCCCCTCAGAGCAGCAAGGAGAGTGAGGAAAAGAGCCTGCTGCCGTGCCCCGTGCCCCTGACCCCCGTCTTCCCTCAGCCGGGCTGCCAGAGCCCTGACTTGCACCTGGTGGGTGAGGTGGCTCTGCCTCCTGGGTGAGGTGGGTGGGGGCTCCTGGGCAAGGTGACATTGTGCATCTGGGACCCCAGGTGGCATAGGCAGCTGGGGGACTTTGAACAGGGAGGGCTGCTCTTCCCGCTTCCACGGGTACAAAGTGCCAGGTCCTATGAGCGGCTCAGGCTGAGAGGCGCTGGCTCTTGCCACCTGTCCCTGTGGTGGCTCTCATGGTGCACTTGTGTGTGACCAGACAGCTGGCAGCAGTGTTCTTGTGGGTTTCTAGGTGCCCACAAGTCCATCACCTGCTCCACAGTCACATCTGTGAGCCTCTTGTACAAGGTCTTCTTTGTTTCTCTGGGACAAAGGTTCTCCTGCCTTCTAGTTTTACTGAGCTAAAAATACTTTCCTACATTGAGTCTTTACAGGGGAAAACTGAGGCAAAAGTCACATACAGTTGGGAAAAGGAAACTGAACTCTGAGCTGGAACCTTGGCAGGAGGGCAGTCATGTTGTGGCCATGAGGACCAGGTGGTGGCTGTGGACATTGTCACCCAGGCTGTGTCTCAGTCACTAAGATGCCTCTATAATCAATGGTAGCTTAATTTTCTCAAACTGAACTTCTTTGCCTTATACACAGATATGCAATCAATGCCTATTGACTAAATGCACCAGAATATTGGACTTATATGTATGTGTCTCCCATTATGAAGAATGCAGGTTATTAAAAGTAGCTGTAAATGTTATTTAAAAGATCCTAAATGTTCTTGCCATCTAGGGATAATTTTAAAGTATTTTTAGTTGCCTAGAGAAATAGTGATTTTCTTGTTTGTAACAGTAAGAGTAATTTTTTTTTGGTATTGGGGATCGAACTTAGGACCTTGTGCTTGCAAGGCAGGTGCGGTGCCACTGAGCTAAATCCCTGGCCCAAGAACAACTTTTTTAGGTTTCATTTTTCCCTCTGACAGGAAGTTCAGGGCAAATTGTGACACCTCTGCACCGCACACCCCCCCAAACAGAGCTGACCTCATTTTAGCAGCTGGCACCATGTCGACCAATACCCCAAGGAGGCATTTCCTAGTGTCCCCTGTTCCCCCCTGTCCTCCCACCTGATTTGGGCTATACTTCAGTATTTGTTTTTGTTTTTTTGCTGTGTCACTGGCATACTTTTTGTTTGTTTTGAGACAGAGTCTTGGTATGAAGTTCAGGTTGGCTTTGAACTCCCTGTGTAGGCCAGGTTGGCCTCAAACTCTTGGCAATCCTCCTGCCTCAGCCTCCTGAATGCTGAGATCACAGGCGGGCATCGCTATGCTCGGTTACTTCAGTGTTTGGACCAGTTTGTTCTTGTTATCAGCCTCACCAAGGACATTGGATTTTATTTACAGAGAGATCTCCCCCCTGCCCCAGCCCTCAGCTCCTGCAGGGGTGGCACTCATCTTGGCGTCTTCTGTGCCTAGGTTCATCTGCAGCATCACTGCTGTCGCTGTGGGTCCCTAGACCCACATTGTAGACATTATTTCCTCCGTCCCAGGCTGTGGATGGTTGCTTTGTCCTCAGTACACATTTCCTTTTCCAGTCCCGGGAGCAGATAAAGATCAGCCTGTGGAATGACCACTTCTCAGAGTACGGCAGGACTGTGTGCATGTTCCGCACTGAGAAGATCCGCAAGCTGGTGGCCATGGGGATCCCCGAGGCTCTGCGGGGTCGGCTCTGGCTCCTGTTCTCAGGTGCGTGCGGCGTCTTTGGCCTGTAAGTAGTGCGTGCACGGGGCTTAGTTCTCTAAATTCCGAGCTGAGGACCCTGGAACTATTGCTGTGCTGGCTGCGGGTTCTGGGTTTTGTGGCCTGAGGCCTCTGGGTGACAGTGACCTCCTATAAGTGTCAGGTCTGGGCAATGTGATCTCTCCTTTAAGAATGATTTTGTGTGTCTATGATCCCAGCACTTGGGAGGCTGAGGCAGGAGGATCTCCACAAGTTCACAGCCAGTCTGAACTGCATAGTGAGACCCTATCTCCAAAAATAAATAAAAGAATGACTGTTAAGTATGTGCATAGTGGTGTGCATTTCATTAACAAGCCCCTGAAATGAAGCATCTTCCTAGGACAGGAGCCCTGGGCAACTGAACAGCACCTGCCCAGCTGCCCTGGGGCTGTTTCCCCAGCCCTTCCTTCATTAAAGGCACCGTGTCCCCAGGGCCCCATTGCAGATGCTGCTCCTGTCCCTCTCCTCCACCGTGACCTATTCCTCAGTGGCCACATGGCCAGGGTTCTCCCTCCCTCCTGGGGCGTTTCTGGGGCTGAGCATGGATCAGACTCCCCAGAATCTTGCTGCTCAGGCCCTTGTGTATCTGTCCCCAGCTGCTGCGACAGGCTGGGGCCTGAGGGCAGGCAGGGAAGGTCCTGCCACCCTATGGCCCAACTGCCTCTCCCTGCAGGTGCCTGCGGGGTCCCCAAACTGCCCTGCCTGCTGAGGTGGAAGCGCCCCTGTTTCCTTGCATTCAGCCTCTAGCTGGTACCTGCCACCCAACTCTCTCCTCCCAAAGACCCATCCTCCTTTCCTTCCTTCCCCAGGTGCCCAGCCACGGGCTTTCTGGGCCCTGCACTCGACATTCCAGGTGTGGCTAATCCCTCTGAGCTTCCCCTGCTGGTGCCCACCTTGTTTCCGGCTCAGCACCCACCCTTCTCCCTCCAGCTGTTTCTGCTACTCCTACCAAAGACACGATAGAAGCCCTTCCTTTATAAAACTCTGTATCTAATAAAACCAGAGTGTGTAACACAGGAGCGTGGAGGAGGGAGCCTTGCTTTCGGTCCCCCACAGAAAGGTATCACTTGTGAGCACCCTTGGCCTCCATCCTCTGGGTCTCTGACACACGCATGTGTATATATGCTTCATGCGGGCCAGGCTTCCGGTGTCCACGTGGGATCCTGGAAGCCCCGGCTTAGAGGGCTGTTCTTCCTCTTTGCTGGCGGAGAAGCTGATGGCAGCCCTTGATGTGAATGCTGTTTATTCCATGTGAGAGCCTAGTGATGATGGAATCACAGTCCCACTGGGGACAGAGCTGACGTGAAACTGTGTTTATTTACCCATTCAGAATTGGATATCTCATCTGGGGTTAAGGACATATTGGGTGCATGTCTGCTGTTCCTGCCCAGCTGGGTGCCAGCCCTGGGGAGGGGAGCTTGGCTAGAACTCTGGGTGCTCAGACTCAGTGTGGGGTGAGGAGAATCCCCGTGCTCTGTCAGTCACTCATCCCTCCATGTCCCTGGCCCCCCGAGGCTTAGCCTTGGCCTGGCAGTGAGTGGCCAACTCGAGTTTGGGGCTTGGACATTCAGCTTTGGTTTGCACTTTAGAGTTTCTCATAGGCAGCAGGGTCTCCCTCTTCGGCAGTGGTTGGCCTTAATCCTAGGGTGCTTTGCACCTTGGTACCTGATAGTTTTGTGAGTTAATGGATGACAGTGGTGTGTATACATGTGACACACTCTTCCTGTTACTAAGGAATGCAGCTTATTAAAGCATATTAATAAAATGATTTCTTTTGTGTGTGTGTGCTGGGACTGAACCCTGGGCTTTGCGCATACTCAGCACGCCCTCTACAACAGAGCTGCACCCCCAGCCCTAAGGTCATTTCTAATACAGACTTTCCCTCGTCATATAGACCTTTTCCTGTTTTTGTACTAGGCTAAGTGACAGAAATGAAGGTGTTCTGTATGTGGTCTCAAAGTGTTTTCTGTCCCTCAGTGAGAAAAATCCCACTGGAGTCCCAGGCAGGCCTGTAGCTCACCCCCTACAGTCCCTTCCCCTGAAAACCTTGCCTTGGTGTGGCATCCTCAGATGCTGTGACGGACCTCGCATTGCACCCGGGTTACTACGGGAAGCTGGTGGAGGAGTCGCTGGGGCGGTGCTGCCTGGTGACCGAGGAGATAGAGCGTGACCTGCACCGATCCCTGCCCGAGCACCCGGCCTTCCAGAACGAGACGGGCATTGCCGCCCTCAGGAGGGTGCTCACGGCCTATGCACACCGAAACCCCCGCATCGGGTACTGCCAGGTGGGTGGCGGCTGGAGTCTGCAACCTCTGGTACTGCTCCTGTCCTGAGGACTAGTCTGTGGAGCTGTCTGCTCAGGCCCTTCCTGGAAAGAATGAGCCACTGGAGGGCCGAAGTAAAGGATCATGTGCGTTATGGTCGAAAATACAGTGAAGGGCCGGGGATTTAGCTCAGTGGTTTTGCTGCCTGCTGTGCAAGCGCAGGGACCCGAGTTTGATCCCCAGTACCAAAAAAACACAACAACAGTGAATGTTTAAATTAAAAAATAAAAGTAATACAAAGACATGTTACCATGAATCCCCCCTCAAAATCCTCCCCCTTGCTTTGAACACACTTATCCCTTCGTTCTTGCCACTTTCTGAAGTTCTGGAGTCCTCTTTAGTGGGAAGTTGTGGAAGTCCTCTTTTAGCTGTGCTGTGCTGGCTGCCTTGATGTCCTGAATCAGTCAAAACCTTTCCCTTTTTCAGTCAGTTTAACTTTGGGGAAGACCCAGGGTCTCACAGTGCCAGATCTGGTGAATAAGCTGGATGAAGACACAGCGTCATATTTTTATGAGCTGCCTTTCTGTTGAATGGCACTCGGCAGCATTCTCTGTAGTTTTCTTTTTTTTTTTTTTTCGGTACCTGGGATCAAACTCAGGACCTTTCGGTACAGGCGCGGTGCCACTGAGCTAAATACCCAGCCCCATTCTCTGTAGTTTTGATCACACCTTATAAAGACACTCACGATACCTCTTTCCAGACCTGCTTCAGAAAGTGGCAAGAATCATGGGATAAGTGTGTCTGAAGATGAGGGGGGGAGTATATTGAGGGAGATTCATGGCAGTGTGTCTTTTACTACAATAATTTTTTTTTAAGTTAAGCATTCACCGTAAATTTTGATCACAGCTATTATAGTCAGGCTGATGACTCGAGACTTAAAGACTTATAAGATGCCTGAAAGTAGAAGTTCTCAAGCGAGTGGGCTGTCAGACAGGGCTTGAACTCAGCTGAGATGGCGTGGGCTTAACAGAACCTAGACCTTGGGCCCTTCTGAGTGGAAGGATGCAGTCAGCAAGCACGGAATACAGAGCAGTAAATTAAACTCAACCAAAGAACTGCAAACAAAACCCAACCAAGACTGCACACTTCATTTTCCTCTGAATAAGAAAAATCAGTGGGTGAATGAAATGCTCTGTGGATGTGTGTGCCTAGGCATGCAGCAAACATCTGGGTTGAGCCTTAACCAGTGGGGACAGGGACTGACTGAATGGTAACTGATTGCTCAGCTTGGCGTTTTTGGTGAGGACCATGTCACACCAGGGTTGTTCATTCCCCAAGGGTCAATATAGTTGGGGCACATGGGGTCTGTCATATGGAAAATCTTTACTCTTGTGGCTCGTGTGTGTGTGTGTGTGTGTGTGTGTGTTACAAGGCTGGGGTTTGAACCCAGGACCTCATGCATGGTAGGCAAGTACACTTTCTCTGAGCTGTACCCCCGCCTTGGGCTTGTGTGTTTCTAAAGTCTCTCAGCGTCTTGCAACTGGCTGGTAACTGCCTCTTCTGTGCCCTCTACACAGTCCATGAACATCCTGACCTCTGTGCTGCTGCTGTACGCCAAAGAGGAGGAGGCCTTTTGGTTGCTGGTTGCTGTGTGTGAGCGGATGCTGCCTGATTACTTCAACCATCGAGTAATTGGTAAACTACCTCCCTCCCACCTCCCTGCCGCCTCTACCTGGGGAGCAGAGCCTGGGAAAGAGGGTCACCATCATTCCTACCCACAGTATCCCTCTGAACCTCTCAGCTGGTCTGCACAAACACACTTTGACCCATAAGTTTGTTTTCCATGCAGCTCTAGCAATATAGTGAAATAACCCCTATAATTTCTTGTTGGAGGCACTACAGATTTTGGATGAAAAACAAATGAATAGCTGAACTTTGTGAAGGAAAGGAAAATCTCTATTCCCAGAAAATAAGTCAGAATATGATTTTGCCTGGTTTTGCACTGGTGCCGTGGCCTGGAAAGGAAGGAGGCATCCCCCTGGTCACTTAGGACAGTGAGGGCGAACCTCTTAGAGACCAAGTGCTCAAACTGCAACCCCAAACCCACTAATTTATCACAAAGTGTCAACATTGCAATTGAATCTGAATGCTGAGGTTTTAGTTTAGAAAAAAACATCATGATGACTTGGCTCGCTTGCTGACAAGAGAGGCCATCATCGAGGGCCGAAGAACTTCTGCTGGGGAGGTCTCTGCTCCCTAGAGGAGAGGAGGTGGTGGGCTGGTGCTGGTGAGTCTCCCACTTACATAAGGAACTTGTTGCTGCCTGAATGTGGATCAGCCAGCTTTCTGTTACTATAATCAAGTACCTGATGTGGCTACCTATGAAGAAAAAGAGGATTATTTAGCCCACAGTGTTGGACGTTCACAGACATGGTACTTGCATGGGCTTTTCTCTGGTGAGGACCTCATGGAGACCAAGGAAGCAGAACAGGAGCGTGTGTCAGGGCAAGGGGGTCACAGCTCCGGCCAAGCTACTTTCACACCAGCCTCCTCATGAGATCGACCAAGCAGTCAGGGATGATCCCTGGAGCTCCCGCTAAACCTCACCTCTTAAGGGTTCCCACAGCTACTCAGGACTAAGCCTAACACATGAATCTTTGGGGCAAAGTGGTCAAGGTAGGGCTCCAGGGAGACCCGTGGCCCCACAGTTCTGCCCTCAGAGCCACCATCTTTCATATAGTTGTGGTTTGGATGTGTACAGCCTCTGTGGCCTGGCAGTCTTGTTGTGGAGAAAATAATATAAAAATTGCATTTGGTGGGTTGGGGATTTAGCTCAGTGGCACCATGCCTGCCTTGGAAGAGTCCCTGGTACCAAAAAAACCACCAAAATTGTGTTTGGTGATGCTCTTCAGGATACTTTTTAGTGAGATGAGGGGTGGAAGTGGACTAAAATTACAGGCAGTGTGGGAACAGAAACAAAAGAACTGCTTTGAGACAGAATTTGGCCGCTAACTGGATGTAGAGGGCAAGGCAGGAAGGAGGTGCTTTTGAAGACTGGATCTAAGAATTAAAAACTGTGATGCCGGATAGGAGTTAGGGGATGGAGAGGGTGGGCCCGGGGGTGTGGCTGGCTGGGAAGGAGGTGATGCTTCCTGTCTGTGGGACGCACATGTCCCTCTGGCTGTCATCCCTGGCTCCCTGCATTGCCTGAGTGGGTGACTGACTTGCTTCCCTTCTCACTTTGTCTTGTGGGAGGCAGCATAAGGTGCAGAGAAGCAAAGAATAAACAGAACTTTGGTGTCATTAGGTGGCACGTTGTCAAGGCCACTTGTTGTTGAATGCTGCTATGTGACAGCTCATGCTCAACAGCGATTAGCTAGACCCTTTGTGATAGTGTGTGGCCATGATGCAAGACAGCAAGAAACCTCTGTGTCACCTCAGGGAGCTCCTTCCTGTCCTCTCCTGCACAAGGAACACTTGGGACTGACTCCTATCACCATAGATGAATTTGACCTACCCTTAAACATCCTATAAATGTAACAAACTTTTCTGTGTCTGACTTCTGTCACATAGCATAATGCCTGTGACAGGCATCCACGTTGGTGGTGTACCAGTGGTTGGGACCTCTGTGACACTGTGTCACTGTGTACACACCATGGGTTGCTTGTCCATTTACCTCTCAATGGGCATTTGAGTTACTTCCAGTTTTGGGCTATGATAAAGTAGCAGTGGACATTCATGCAGACGTCTTTTGTGGATATATATTGTCATTTTTGTGGGTACTTGTCTAGCAGCAGAGTTGCTAAGGGACTTCCAAGGGATACAATATATTCATTGTCTCATTCCAGCAGTGTGGGAGTGTCCCAGTTGCTCTGTGTCCTTGCTAATCCTTGGGATCACCTGTCTTTTTAATTTTAGCCAGGCTACTAGGTTAGAAGTAGTGCTGTCATGGTAGCTTTCATTTGCATTTCTCTAATAATTTTGAACATATTTCTGTGCCCAATGACCATTTGTTTATCATCTCTTTTGAGTGTTCAGATCTTGAGTTTACGTATTAAAAAAAAGAAAATTTGTTGGTGCCTTCTGATTAAGTTACAGGAATTCTTTGTTTTGGATACAAGGCTTATTCAAGGAGATGTACAGCAAGTGTTTCCTCCGAGTTTGAAGTTTGCACTTCCATTTTATTAGTGGTGTCTTTTGAAGAACAACAGTTTTTAGTTTTTTGGGTTTTTTTATTTTTTTATTTTTTATTTTTTTGTATGGTTTTTTGGTTTTTCTTTTTTTTGGAACCGGGGATCAAACTCAGGACCTTGCACCTAAAAGGCAGGTGGCAGCACCACTGAGCTAAATCCCTAGCCCAACAGTTTTTAGTTTTGACTGGAGTCCAGTTTAATTTTTTATGGTTAGTATTTTTTTGGCCTTATTCCTATATTTCCTTCCAGAAGTTTTATAATGTTAGCTTTTTCATGTAGGCCTGTGATTCATTTCCAATGTATTTTCTGTATGGTGTGAAGTAGGGGTTGAGCAGCCCCCCTGCTGCCCCATATTGATGTCCAGGAGATTTGAGCATTTTTTTTTTTGAAAAGACTATCATTTACCCATCGAATCACCTCAGTCAAAATGTCAGACATCAGTGAACTAAGTGTGAGTCCTTTTCTGAACTTGCATTCTTTTCTCACTGTCCTTGGTCATCTCAGAGTAGCTTTCATTTCAGGCTTGGTATAGCACATATGATTCTTTGCTGCCAAAGTTCTGTGGGCTTCCTTTTGCAGGGGCTCAGGTGGACCAGTCTGTCTTTGAGGAGCTCATCAAGGAGCACCTCCCGGAGCTGGCAGAGCACATGAATGACCTCTCGGCCCTGGCATCTGTCTCACTCTCGTGGTTCCTGACCCTGTTCCTCAGCATCATGCCCCTGGAGAGTGCCGTGAATGTTATGGACTGCTTCTTCTACGATGGGATCAAAGCCATCTTCCAGCTGGGGCTGGCTGTGCTGGAAGCCACTGCCGAGGAGCTGTGCAGCAGCAAGGATGACGGCCAGGCCTTGATGATTCTCAGCAGGTGGGCCCTGGCCTTGTGCTCCTGTGGCTCCTGGGGATGAAGTAGGTGGCAGCTGAGTCTGGAAGACCACAGGAAGTGGTGGCAGCAGGTGTGAAGCTTTGTCTTCTGCTCTGCCACCTGTTACCCTGTGGTCTCTCAAGAGCCAGCCTGCCATGCGGCACTGCCACCAGCGTGGGATGAAGGGTGCCATCCTCTCTCACGCTGCCCAAAGTCAGAGCACAGGCAGGACAGGGCTGTAAGTGCTAAACCTTGTCTCCTGTGCACTCCGTGGCCTTGAACAGGAATGGGGGCATTGAAGCTCACTGGGGTCCCAGACACTATATGCTTGGGGCTGGTGAGCACCAGTGAGAGAGGGATCACAGCAGGCTGAGCCCTGGGACCTGGCTGCCCAGGCACCATGGGAGGCAGATGTTGGGTCACTGTGTGGTTCCATCAGAGCATGACTGGAGCTTGTGGTGCAGAATTCATACTGACTTCCCCAGACAGTCGCAGCCTGGACTCCTGCACAGAGCCCAGCTGGACAAGCCTGGCTTTGGCAGGGCCTCCCTGCAGCAGTGGCCACCTCACCTCCTTCCAGATGCTATGTTTGAATTTGAGCTAGCACATACAACACCCCGAGGGCAGTGGGTGTTGTGTGGCTCAATGAGGGGGTCTTGGCTGTAACTGGGGGTGTGCTCAGGTTTCTAGATCACATTAAGAATGAAGACAGCCCGGGGCCCTCCATCAGCAGCCACCATGCCTTTTTCTCCGATGACCAGGACCCCTACCCAGTGACTGACATTGCTGACCTCATCCGGGACTCCTATGAGGTGCCGGAGCTCCTGGCCCAACCTCAGCACCCCTTTCCCACCCCCAATTTCCCTTCCTACCCTTGAAGCCCCTTTCCAGTGGGAAGTGCCCCTGGGAGGTGAACATTTTGGGAGGATCCTGGGCTGCTTCCTGTCTGCTCTGGACCCAGCAGGGGTTCTGACAGAAGGGTCCCTGGTGTCCCTGCAGAAATTTGGGGACCAGTCCGTGGAGCAGATTGAGCACTTGCGCTGCAAGCACCGGATCCGGGTCCTCCAGGGACATGAGGACACCACAAGGCAGAATGTGGTGAGCAGAGGCCTCCAGGGGTGGGTGTAGGCCCGTGTGGTTTCGTGACTTAAAAATGCCAGCTTTTTTTTTTGTATCAAACTAAAAACTGAATATGGGTGACGTACTGTAAAAACAACATGGGTTTTTGGGAGCATCAGTTTTCCTGCTTTAAAATGGGGGTGACCCTTTCCTCTCCATGTAGAATTGGGTAGGGTACTGGTGTGAGATCCCTGTAGGCTGCAGGAAGCAGAGTTTCATTCAGAGCATCTTTTTCCCCAGAGGTGGAGCTTCGAGCCTCTGTTCTGAGGCACCTGGTTGAAGAGGATGGAACAGCTGGGCAGCTGCTGCCGTGCCATCTCTGGGTCAGAAAGGAGTAGATGCTGCCCCAGGACACAGGCAGCCATTGCATAAGGGGCTCTGGCTTGTGTCTCCTGGCCTTGAATTAACTCCATCCCTGTTGTTCTTTCTTAAGCTCCGTGTGGTCATTCCTGAAGTCTCAGTTTCTCCTGAGGACCTGGAGGAACTCTATGACTTATTCAAGGTATGAGTGCTGGATAGCCAGGATGGTGCAAGCTCAGCCAAGGCACCTGTCGGGGGTGGCCAGGGTCTGCCAAGGCTGGGCCAGTGTCCTGCTTGCTTCCACCCAGACTTCACTGTGGCAACCCTCAGCCTGGCATCAGGAAGGAGGAGCCTTGTGGCCCCTGGGTGTCCCCATCCAGGCTGTTGCTGGCTGAGCAGTATCGGGTCCTGGTTTCCAGAACAGGAGACAGTGGCCCTACCACACCATCTCAGGGTACTTCTTCAGTCTGTGTGGATATACCCCGTGACCCACACAGGCCTGTATGCTTTTATATGCTTTGTGGCTGCTGTGTAGCTAGGTCATGTGTTGCCCTTTGGTGCTGAGGCAAGAGTTTGAGCCCAGCCTGGGGTACACAAGTTCAAGGCCAGCCTGTACTACGTGGGGAGACCCTGTCTCAAAAAACCAAAAAGCCACCCAGGTTTGTTACACCTTTGTTACACACCTGCAAGTTGTTGTGGTGCTCCTAACCATTCTGCAGTGGCTAATTACTCTGTGACTGTATTGAATATGACCCTAAAATTCCAAATGGCATTTTGGCTTACGTACTACAGCACCTGCCATCATTTCTGTCCCAGCCTTACAGACTGTGGTGAACTGAGATGACTGCACAGGTCGCTTGGTGTGGCACACATGTGGCTAAAGGGGCTGGGCTGCGTGGTAGAGCATTTTCCTGGCATGTGCACAGCCCTGGCTACCATCCCCTGCACCGGGGGTGCGTGTGCGCACGTGTGTGTGTGTGTGCGTGCGCGCAAGTGTGCGCGCACATGTGTGCGTAAGAGGCTTGCCTGGCCTCAGTAACAGGGCTAGTTTTGGTTGGTTTAATTTTGTCTATTCCCAAAACTTCAACTTGCCTTTTTTTAACTTTTAATTTAAAAAATTGTTCATATATGCATGTGATTTAAAATTTAGAAAGTATGAAAAGTAAGAAGTGAAAGTCTTGCTTCTACCTTCGGGTCCCTACCCGTTTCCTCTCTGCCAGGTAATCAGGCTACTAGTTCTTTCTGTATCCTGTAGATTCCTTCAGTCCTTTCTGATTTATAGTACATTTTAATGAAAGGAGCAGAATAAAAATTATCGTCATAATTAAAACTGTACATTTAACACTGGGTAAGATGGTGAATTTTGTGTTACATATATTTTACCATGAAGAAAACCTTTAATACAAAAAGTTAAAATTCCAAAGTCAGGTGCTGTAGCACAGTCCTGTAACCCCAGCACTTGAGAGGCTGAGGTACGAGGGTCACTTTGAGTTTGAAACCAGCCTGGGCTACATAGTGAGTTTAAGGTCAGCTGTCTCACCCCCTGCCCTGTGCGGGAAATGCCGAAACTCCATATTCCTGTGGGCCAGGAGAAGGGAAGTGCTTACATGTCTGGTCAGGTGTTGAGACAGGAACATTCTGTCATCTGGTTCTCCTTCCAGCGTTGCTTACTGAATAAGCAGCAATTGGGGAGGAGAAGCTGGGCCGCACCTTTCCGGCTGTCCCTGGCACTGCCCAGTGTCCCAGCTCTCTCCTCTCCTTTTTGCAGCGGGAGCACATGCTGAGCTGCTACTGGGCGCAGCCTGGGCTGGTGGCCCTGCGCCATGACCCCAGCAGGCCCTACGCTGAGCAGTACCGCATTGACGCCCGGCAGTTCACGCGCCTCTTCCTGCTGCTCTCGCCCTGGACCTGCGGGGCCCACACGGAGATCCTGGCGGAGAGGGCATTCCGGCTGCTGGATGACAATGTGGACCAGCTCCTGGAGTTCCGGGCATTCGTGTGCTGCCTGGGTATGAGAGCCTCCTGCAGCCCGTGGGCTTGGGAATCTGTAGACAGAGCATTGTGGTGCACTGGCGACAGGCCTGACACGATGCTGGGACTTCACACTTCACTTCTCTCATGGCCGCCTATGGGGATGAGGAGAGGGGCTCGGGCTTCCTCATAGGAGCCTGCTGATCTGTTCTCCTTGGCCCCCAGTGTGTGGCCATGGTATGTCGGGAGCCATGTCTCTAAAATTTTGCCAAAGTCTGAGGCCAGACTGCCCTCATCAGGTTACCATGTAGCTCAGCCACCAGCCAGCACACTTTTTTTTTTACCAGCCAGTAGTCTTGATGCATGCATCTCTAACCTGGCATGGACCTGGGGGGATGGGCGGGGACAGGCATTGACCTTACTTGGTTCTCTTCAGTGAGTCTGCATTATGACACAGGAGCCGCTGGTAGCTGTCTCTCTTTTTTGCAGATATTATGTACAATGGAGAAATGAATGAGAAAATCAAACTGTTGTACAGACTTCATATCCCTCCAGGTAAGCCAGTCCAAGCTGGAGCAGCCACCTGTGCTCTGCTTCAGAATGCAAGCAGCTCTGTGCACCACTCTGCAATTCTTTTTCTAAATTTCTCTTAGACTTGGGCTGGGGATTTAGCTTAGTGGTGCTGTGCCTGCCTTGCAAGCACAAGGTCCTGAGTTCAATCCCTGGTATCCCACCCCCCCCAATTTTTTTTTTCACTTAGTCTCGGGGCACCAAGATTTCTATTTTGGGGCTGCAGCTCACACACTGTAAGAACTGTGCTACATGGCTGCAGCAGGAGCTGCCCAACTGAGTGTGCATCAGAGTCAGTGGTGGTGTGCATTAGAGTGCAGGTATGGGGCCCTAGCTGGATGGCTGGCGCCTGGGTTGAGAGCCGGGTCTGTGGGATGTGCTGGAGAACAAGACCCTGGTGGCCTGGGCAGATGGTTATTATAGGCTACTGGGCTTTTTTGTTTGTTTTCTTTTCTTTTTTTTTTTTCGGTATGGGGGTCTGAACTTGTGCCCTTGTGCTTGCCAGGCAGGTGAGGTTCCACTGAGCTGTATCCCCAGCCCTGTTTGTTTGTTTTCTGAGACAGGGTCCAGGGTCTTGTAGTTCAGGTCACCTTGAACTCATTATGTAGCCAAGGCTGGCCTTGAACTCTTGGTGATCTTCCTGCTTCAGCCTCCTGGGTGCTGGGATTACAGGTGTGCGCTACCATGCAGGGCTGGCTACTGTTTTTGGAGCATCATTTTCTATCAGTAAAGACCATGTTTCCTTCAAGTTCATGCAGTGGTAACCAGGAAGAAAGGAAGTTGTTTTGAAAGCCATGAGGTCAAATTTGATGTTGAGCTGGGCCTGGTGACACATGTCTGTAATCGTAGCACTCAGGAGGCTGAGGCAGGAAGATTGTTGAGCGTTTGAGGCCAACCTGTGCTACAAAGTGAGTTCAAGGACAGCCTGAGCTGCCTGGTGAGACCCTGTCTCAAAAAACTAAAAAAGCAAACAACAAACTTGACATTGGCAGGAACAAAAACACAGAACTCTCAATTAAGTGTTCCTTAGACCTTTAATGGGGATGAGTGAGATATCCCACAGGCTGTCTACCTGGGAGCTGGGCCCCTGACAGAACTTCCCCAACAGGAGCCTGGGGAAGTTTCCAGGGCCAGAGCTCCTGCTGGCTTTTACAGCCACCGATGCATATGGAGAAATGGAAACCTTGGGGTGGGCTGGAGTCTCTGATGTACTGGGAACAGGGCTGCTGTGATGCTACACTTCACCAATCCCTTCTGTAAGTGCCAGGGCTCACGGAGTGAGTTACTGTGTTTGCCGAGCAGCTCTGGACCCACAGTGAAGGACGCCGCAGGGGGCTCAGCTCAGCAGTAGAGCGCTTGCTTCCAGTGTGTGAGGCCCTGGTCTGGATCCTCCACTGGCAGAAACGTTCAGATGCCAATTCAGGGAAAACAAGCTACTCCAGTCTGCAGGCAGAGAGCGAGCTTTCTGTCTAAGGTCTTCTACGTAACCAAGAGTAGCTGCTGTCCAGTCCGGGCACCCAGTTGAGTTGAAAGGGGTGTGGTTTCCTGTGTGTGCCTTGCTGGCAGAGATGGGGAAGCTGTGCTTTGGGGCCAGCTTTTCGGGCTCCTTGTCTCTGTTGGTAGCTTACACACCTCCCTAATTGACTGCCCTCTTCTCTGTAGCCCGTCAGTCGTGTGTCGCTCTTCCATTAGAACATTTTGTTGGCTTGTGTACACACTGCTCCTTTTTGGGACATCATACTCTTTAGTATTCCAGGGTTTATCATTTTCCTCCCATTCAGTTTGAGTGGATTCTCACAGGTGCCACTCCACAGTTTATTTTAGGCAGTTGAGGGCAATAGTAACTTAATTGTAAGAGAAAAAAAATTAGGGATGGGAAAAATGACCTACGTTTTTGGTTGTGGTTACAAATAACTCTGTCAATGTGCTGAGTCTGCTGAATATTACATTTTAAGACTAAATTGTGTAGTATGTAGAGTTTTGGTTTAATAAAGTTGTTTTATTTAAAAAACCCCCCAAAACCCTAAAAACCTAAGCATCAAAAAAAGAGAAAACCCTCCTCCAGAAACGTAGAAACCTCTTGGAGTTTTTCAGAGCTTTGGTGCCATCTTGTGGAAACTTCTTGAATCACAACTGACTTTTTCTTTTTTTCCTTTTTTGGTTTTTTGAGTGAGACAGTCTTGCTATGTAGTTCAAGCCAGGCTTGAACTCATTGCGTAGCTCAGGCTGGCCTCAAACTCACATGGGTCCTCCTGCCTCAGCCTCCTGAGTGCTGGGGTTACAGGCCTGTGCTACTACACTTGGCTGAACACAACTAAATTTTGCCTTTGATTTATTCTCAGGGCTCACTAGCAAGTTCTAGTCTTTTAAGAATGAAGAACTTTCCTTATCAAGCCCTGTTCTTTTGTAGCAGCCTTATTGAACTATAATTCATATACCATTCAAGTCACCCATTCAGTGTACACATTGAGTGGTTTTTTCATATATTCAGAGTTGTGTGAGAAGCACCATAATCTATGAAACTTCATTATCTGAAAAGAAATATCCTGTCCTTTAGCTGTTACCCTCAATCCATCTATTTTCCGTAGCCTTAGGAAACCTATTTCTATGGATTTGTCTGTTCTGCACATTTTGTGTAGGTGGAATTGACACAGTATTTGCTATTATGTGTCTGGCTTCTTTCACCTAGCATAATGCCTTCAAGATTCATCCCTGTTGTAGAACATATAACACCAAGCAACACTCTATGTCTGTGCCACAGTTTGTTTATTCATCAGTGGATAGGCATTTGGGTTGTTCTGGTATTCGTTTTTGCTATTATGAACATTTATTTCCAAGGTGTTATGTGAACATCTGATCTCAGGTTTGCTCTGGTAGACACCTAGGAGTGCAGTTCTGGGGCAAATAGCAGCTGTTTTTAACATTTTGAGGAACTACCAGACTGTTTTCCGAAGTAGCTGAACCATTTTACTTTTCTACCAGCAATGTATGAGGGTTCTGATGTCATTTTATCTTTAGTATGCTTCAAGAAAACTCTTAATAAGATGTTGTTTTAGATTCAGTAAGGCTGTTTTCAGTTCTTATAGAAATATAACTGTCGGCTGGGGATTTAGCTCAGTGGTTCCGTTGCTTGCCTTGCAAGCACAAGGACCTGAGTTCGATCCCTGGTACCAAAAACAACCACAAAAAAAACCAACAAAAAAAAGAAATATAACTGTTCATGACAGTTGACTTAATTACCAACTGTTCTTCCATCCAGAGATCTACCCTGTTCACTTTAGAGCTTCTTACATATATATATATGCATATCGTTTATAGAAAGGGAATCGACCATGTGCATTTCTCTAGGCCAACTCAAAAAAACTTTTTTTTTTTCCTTTTGTGAGACAGGATCTCGCTATGGAGACCAGGCTGGCCCTGCACAAATTAAGTAGCCCAGGGTGGCCTCGAACTCACTGTGATCGTGTCTCAGGCTCCTGAGTGCTGCAGTTACAGGTGTGCGCCACCACTTCCAGTGCAATGCCCATTTATGAATCTGCACATTATTATTTACAGTAGTGCCTGTGTACATCTGGGATGTGAGACATTTTATTTACTTTGTGCATCTGGACAGGGCTTGGTGTCCACTTGGCTTCCTGAACCTACAAAGAGTCTGTAGCCTACCGATTGGGAGCAGCTGACTGAGCCTCCAGTTCTTTCTTGCCTAAAGAAAATACAGCCTAAAAAGATAAATTACTCTTGTCAGTTTTGGTTAGACAGAATATATGTTCAACTTAAATCTTTTTCCTTCCAAGCACTTACTGAAAATGACCGAGACAGCCAGTCACCATTGAAGAATCCTCTGCTGTCGACATCGAGGCCTCTGGTCTTTGGGAAGTCCAATGGCATGTACCTCTCCTGCTATCTGCCCACCCTAGCACCGCATGCTCCCCAGGTCCTCCCACTCCTGTAGCTGCCTGGCCCTTCCTTCCCTCTTATGAATTACCAGAGCCCACTGTTTCAGGCAGAAACCTTCTGGAAGTGGAAGTGTTGCTGTGACTGCCCCTCTCCTGCCGCTGGGTTCTTCCTCTCCTTACTGTTTCCCCCAGCTATGTGGATGGGGATCCATGGTCAGTTGTAAAACTGACAGAATCCCTTGCGTTGCAGTTTTATGTGGGATTTCCTTCATGGAATTCCTCATCCCGTCTCCAATCAGTGCTCCCTTTTGCTTTCACTGAATTTCAAGTTATTTTCCTTTGTTTCAGGTGATACAGTTGATTATCAGAAGCAGCTGAAGCAGATGATCAGAGATCTAGCTAAAGAGAAAGACAAAACCGAGAAAGAGCTACCCAAAATGAGCCAGGTATGAATTTTCTTCTATGAAGAGGTGAACTGTTTGGCTAGTGACTTTGCCTAGTCGTTAATTTGATAACTGAGCTTTGGCCCCTTTACTTCCAAAGCCTAATATCTTTGGGCTCTTTTACCTTCAAAGTCCAGGACCGTATAACTTTGGGGAGCTGAAGATTGTGTTGAGTAAATGGAGATTAAATTGTGATCGAGTCAGATATTCAAACTCTTCAAAACACTAGGCAGCCACACTCCACACCTTTGAGAGGTTTGTCAGGTTCTCTTGTCCAGGCTATAACTTACTCTGTGGATGTTAGAAACTTTTGGGGCCACTCTGGGTGCAGCATTCTTTCCTCAAAGAAATGAATGTTCACTGACTGCATGATACACAGTGCACGATCTTGCAGTGTCTTTCAGTAAAGGGCTTTATACTACACAGGTGCCATATGATGGTGGTTCTTTTTTTTTCCTTTTTAAATAAAGGTCTCAACCGAGGTTTGAGAAATGTAGGCTTACAGTTAAGAATGTCCCAGCTGGGTGTGGTGGCATACACATGTAATCCCAGCACTCAGGAGGCTGAGGCAGGATTGCCTCAAATTTGAGGCCAGCCTGGGCTAGTGAGTTCAAGGCTGCCTTGAATTACAAAGTGAGACCCTGTGTCAAAAAAAAAATTTTAAAAGCCCCTTTACCATGTGACTTAAAATCATTTTGTTGCTGTGTGCTAGGAGCCTTTGATTGGAATTTAGCATGCAGTGTTTCAGTCTTTTTCTTTTTGGTGGTGCCTGGAATTGCAGGCTAGACAAGTGCTCTGCCATTGAGCCACATCCCTAACCCTAAGTCTTTTTAGACCCCAAAACACTGTGTAGGATTGGTATTTCATAGCAAGTCTAAGAAATGCTGTTCTATGGGGGAGTTGCTTTCAGATTTTCACTCTACTCCTTAGATGAGTACGAAATTTTATCATCCAGTGCTGTCAGTACTAAGGTACCTCCCCACCCTAAACACTTGACAGTTGAGAAATGTATGTTTAGTCCCCCTTTTCTGGGTAGTTGTGCTACTGATCCATGACAAAGCAGATGAATTTTTTCAGGACTGAAATTTTTCAGTGATTTCATGTATACTTTCTCATCTATTTGCCTAGGCTTAACAAGCTTCCCTCCAGATCATGCAGGCCCTCTGAGCCCTGTGGTATATAGACTCTACTCCTCTCTTGTCTGTGAAGTGTGTCTACACAGGACCAAGTTCCTTGCTAGCTACTACTGCTGGCACACCAGTGTCCCTCCACAAATGGGCTGAGCCTGCCAAGCCCCTAAAGGATCATGGTGATTTTGTCACTTATACTCAATCCTGATGTTACACATTCAGAGAAACTTTCCTACCTAGAAAAGCGATCCCTGAAAGGTCAGCCTTTGTTACTAACATTCCGGTAAACATCACGTCACTGTTGTTTTCCAGCTTTTAGGTCCTGCTATCAGATAAATGTGCCAGTTTTACTAATCTTTTCAGCAGTTTGATATTTTTGTTACAAGCTCTAACTTATCCTTCTAGGTGAGTCTGTATAGCTGGTTTCTTTGGAGACATTTCTGCAAGCTGACTGGCTGAGCTGAGTGCTCATGCTCTATGAGGCTACCTCCCTTAATGGTTATCACACAGACAGCACACTTCCGAGCACGTGCAGAAGCCCCGTGGGGGCAGTGTGCAGTGGAAGGGCAGAGAATGTCTTATCTTTTCCTTTCTCAAAAGTAGTTATGTACTTTTCTTAGTGTAACATCTGAAAAATAATTACTTCCACCCTGGCTATGCTGCTATATTGACTTTCTAATTCCAGAGAGAATTTATCCAATTCTGTAAGACCCTGTACAGCATGTTCCATGAAGATCCAGAAGAAAACGAGCTGTATCAAGCCATCGCTACGGTCACCACTCTGCTGCTGCAGATTGGGGAGGTGGGCCAGTGGGGCAGCAGCTCAGGCAGTGGCTCCCAGGAGTGTGTGGAGGAGCTGCAGGCCTCTGCTCCCTCTCCTGAGCAGGACTCAGTCTTTGTAGACCCTGGCAAGCCTGCCCAGGACACCCGGCCATTTCCCGAGGCGGTGGAAGGGGTCTGGACGGTCTCCCTGGAGCACATCTTAGCATCACTCCTTACTGAACAGTCCTTAGTGAACTTTTTTGAAAAGCCACTAGACATTAAGCCCAAACTTGAAAATGCCAAGATCAATCAGTACAACCTCAAAACTCTCGAAATGAGCAGCCACTTGCACCCTGAACTCAAGCTGAGTAACACATAGCAAGGCAAGTTTGCTGTTGTGGTGGTGCAGTTTGCCACAGCAGGTGGACCGAGCTGTCAGACCCGAAGCCTGGACTTGTCTATCCCCACTTTAGAAGCTAGTTATCTCGATAAACCATCCAAAAGCTGGCTAAGAAAATCCAGTTCCCAATTATTTACTCTTTTAAGAGAATCATCAGTTGGACAGGCAGTGGTACAGGGTTATCTGTCAATTCTTTGACACTGACTTGTGATTCACTTCCAGCAAATTTGCAATGGGTGTTTCTGCTGTGATGCTGGTATGATAGAATAGACTCCGACACCATACAAACTGAGGGACAAAACCCCAAGCTCTCATTTTTCACTTAGAATGAGAAAGGACAAGAATCATGTTCAAGATCCCAGAGCCACTATCTGTGCAATTGTTTTTGGCTGTTTTTGCACTAATTTTGTTTCAATGCTGGTAATTGAAACCATTTTAATACTTTTGGTTGTATTCGCCTTGGATATGTCCTTCCAAAAATGTGTCCAAACTATGCTTTCAACGTTGGCCTCCACGTTTTTTAATAAAATTTTTTTGTATTGACTCAGTCCCTACCTTACCTTGACTATGGTGTCAGCTGTACGATGTGAAGAGACAAGCTGTGCTCTCCCTGTATGCAGCTCCGTTCTTGCTGCTTGCGGGGACCACTTATGGCAGCATACCATTCAAGTCACTGGTGTACACACTCATCAAATTGCACCTCTAATTTTCCCAGAGCAGTGGTTCTCCAATTAGAATCACCTGGAAAAACCTATGGCTCTGTCCAAGTGAACTCCAAGGGGTGGGGAGTGAAAGTATTGAGAAAAACTGGATAATCCTGCCACTGGGAATAGCTTTTACATATACAGCACAATATGTCACAACTGAAAAGAAAACCACAGCACAAAGGCAGTTTTGTAACTTTATTTGAAAGTTAGTTCTCATCCACATTCACTGTCTGGAGATCTATGAAAAGAAGCAACAAACAGCCAGTCAGTTCCCACACTCATACATGTTTCCTATCTGAACACCGGAATAATATTTGGAAAAAGATTTAGACAAGTAATTGTATTCCACTGCAACCTTTTCACAACTCAAACACTAGTTCTGTGTTCTTTTGCATTTTTCCACACTTAAGACAATGTGAAACAGCTGTAACACTGTTGAGGTTGGTGGTGCATGCCTATAATCCTAGCACTCAAGAGGCTGAGGCAGGAGGAATGCCGAGAGTTTGAGGCCAGCCTGAACAACACAGACTGTCTCCAAAAAAAAGTTGTAATAATTGTGCCTGTTAATCACGTACCTACTGGAAGTTACCAAGTGTACAGGAGTACAGCAAGTACTTGGTTGACAGATGAATTTAGGTCAGGAAAAAAAAGGTAAGGAAGCTGCATATGGTGGCACGTGCCTATAATCTCAGCACTCTGGGAGGGTGAGGATCCCAAATCAGCAGCATCTCAGGCCAATTCAGTGAGACCATGTCTCAAAAGTTTAAAAAGAGCCTGGAATGTAGCTCACTGCCCACAGCTCTAGGTCAACCCCCAGTGCTGTGCACACACAAATGGTTGACCTTTTTCTCATAATTTTAAAAAGCTCTTGTAGAATGAGTGAAACTTACTTTTGAATGTGGTAACAGGGACGTAAGTTACCAAAGTATAGAGCTTGTTTGGTGAATCTTCATCTTCATTACGTTTTCTGGACAACCGTACACGGATACGATATGGGACATTCCTAGTGAAAATACAAATGTGTTACTACGGTCAATGTCTCCTTTCAGTAACTGGCCATCAACTGCATGGTCACATCCTATCCTCGCTGCTTCTAATGCTTAGATCCAGCCAGGTGGGGGGGCTCACACCTGTAATCCCAGCACTTAAGGAGGCTGAGGCAGGAGAATTACTCCAAGTTCAAGGTCAATCTGAACTACAGTGAGACCTATTTTAAAAAACAAAACAAACACAGAAAAACTAATGCTCAGATCCAATCAGCTAGCCACTTATCTGCCCCTGGAAAATTTACCCAGGTGGACATTGAATGCTATCACCTCAGGATGCACGCTTGACAGGATGTGTTAAAGCAGCCACCAGTGACACTCAACCACTTCTAAGCAGAAGTGCGGGCCTAGAGGTGGGAAGTCTTGTTCTAAGAGGTTTTCTATATTGTTTAAATGAAAATTTCGCAGCTGTCCATCTCATCTCACTCAACCCCTCAGCATCAACACTGATCTTCCCCTCTTCCTTGACAAGCCAGGTGTTGTCTTAGACACCCAGGATTCCTTCCTGTAACCCAGGCCTTCCCTTCTCTCTCATCTCATAGAAGGCAGCACAGCGCTCGGCCCAACTGTTCTCCCCACACCCCTTGATTCTGGCTTGAAGGACCCAAGTGTCTTGGCCTGTAACCCCCACCCCACCCGCCCCCAACCAACTGCCCAAGTTAAGAACTATGGTTTTTGGGCTGGGGATGTAGCTCAGTGGCACAGCGCCTGCCTGGCAAGTGCAAGGTTCTGAGTTTGATCCCCTGTTGGGGATGGGGGGGGGACGGGGACGGGACGACAATGGACTATGGCTTTAAGGCGGGCTTCCCATCACGTCTAGATGACCCCCACCCAGGGCCCAGCCTCTGCACCTTCATTTGCTGGCCTTCTGGGCACTTATTCTACCACATGAGCCTGTGGCCTGTGCAGTGCTCCTCCCCAGCTCACACCCTCCAGGCCTCAGTTTACAGTCCCATTGCAGGTTCCACCAGCAGATGCCACAGTGTTTTCTCCATGCCTCCACATGCAGTTACCAAGCTAACTGATCATATGGACCGGGCACAGAGCAGGACAACCTGGTGTCACCATAAGGTCACGTTCTAACAGATAACATCAGCACCTTATTCCTTTGGCCCACACAGCTTTGTTGAGCCTGGTATCAATGCGCACATCTGGAGTCCCCATCTCCTTCATGGCAAATTTCCGGATCTCTTTAAGTGCCCGAGGGGCGCGCTTCTTGAAGCCCCTAAGATCCAAACACAAGCAATAAAAAAAAAAAAGCACAAAGTTATATATAAAACAGTATATCTTGTTTTCATAAAATACAAACTAAACCTAGGCAAGAACAATATTCTTTTTCCTCCAGTGTGCAATGGCCAGCAGCTAGCATTAATACTCCAGACAAGAAGCTGTATAATTCATTTTCACTTAAATAGTGTCCTAGGTCCAAATTACAAGACAGCATGCTACTGGAACACATCACAGGACACTATTCATCAACTAGCTGTTTAGACAGCACGGTCTGAAATTGGAGTAGATTCCTTGTATTAAGGAAGTATGAGGACAACCATCAACTAAGGTGCTGTAGGTGTGCCTCAGACATTCATTAACATCTGTTCAAAGCAGATCTCAGCACTTAGTAACCCTTTCTCTACAATGAGGACGCAGATGCATCTAGAGTTTAAGGTTTCATTTAATTCATTTAACCAAGAAATGCACAACACAAAGAACTTTACAAAGGCTGAAAAGATTAAGCACTACCCGCCCAGGCTCCTAGCTAATTCTAGAGCCCAAACTCACATAATTAAGTATCTAGAAATACAGAGTGCTGGAAGTAACAGCAGTCAGCAAAACAGGAAAATCCCTGTTCTTCACATAGCTTATGCAAGTGACCCACCAAGTGCATGAGATGTTATCAAGTATTAGAGAAAAATCCGAAAGGAAAAGATAAAGACTATTAAGAGAAGGGGATGGGAGTTTCAACACAAGGGCTAAGGGGATCAAGTCTGAAGGCAATGAAGGCAGCCAATCTGAGAAAACCCGATAGGCACAGGGGGAAGAAGTAAAGATAAAACAAAAGCAGCTACTCATGATAAAGTAAGTGGGCCAGCTAACGTGATAATGGCAAACATCCTGGTTTATAGGAAGCCAACAGACGATGAGAATGCACCAAGTCAGGGTAAGGATGCCTGGATAAGAGTGCAATTGGTCAGACTGGACGCATCCTGAAGGTATGGCCCACAGGATGTGAGCTGCCAATGAAAAACACAGGAAGGTTGGGGCCAGGTATCTAGCTCAGTGGCGCTGTGCCTGTCTTGCAAGCACAAGGTCCTGAGCTTGATCCCCGGTACCAAAAAAAACATAGGAAGGGGAGGAGAGGAATAGGCCAGAGTAAAAAGACAACTGGAGTTGGGTTTGGACCACATAAAATTTGAGACGTTTGTTTACTCAAGGAAAGATGTCAAGTAGCAGTTGGACATTTAAACCTTTTAAGACTCGCTGTTATCATCCAGTTTGGCCGAGGCCTTCAAACAGCACACCACCTTTCACCCCATGGCTTCTGCCACTATTTCCTTTCTGCACTATTTTATACTCTAAGCACTTGTTCCCTGCTTTTTACTACTAACTAGATTAAGGTCTCTGGTTCCCTGCACCATTTGCAAAACCCAAAGCAGTGGCTAGGGTTGCTAGGTACCTGCTAAGCCCCAAATACAGAGGCAGGAATATGTTTACTGTTTGCATAAACACAAAAGATACCGCATTTTCGATCTAGAACCAGAGACCCCACATAAGACAATGTACATAATGTTCCTTGGCTGACAGGGTTACTACTTGGCTACTATGCCAGACCCAATGCGAAAGCTGCCACACATTTATATCTGTTGAACTATGTCCCAAGAGACTGCCCAAACAAATCCAAGAAACCCGGCTCCACTCATTACAGACTGAATGGAATATTTCTCTATGTAGCATATAAAAAAAACAAAAGCACTTCAAGTCACAGTAGGTGAGATTCTACCAGTAAACACCATGAATAAGAAAGGGAAAAATTTACCAAGTCCAAGATCTAAATACAGGAATCATGTATTCATCAGTGGCCTTCACCATACAATGCCCTGTAACTGCAGATACGCTTTTGTGTCTCTAGCATTTTTACTTCAAACACAAGTCCATCAGTCCATCTCTGTAGGGGTCAGGGAACAGAAGACCCCCGGCAGGACACCTTCTTAGCCGGCTAACTTCCCTGCTGTCCAGAGGTATTAAAAGTTTGCTTTCCCTCCTATCTACTTCTACTTTTTAGACTGTCCAGGTTTTAAAAAACGAAAGCAATGACTGTAGTGACCCAGTGGAATCACCACCAAGTTTTTCAAAATTGACTTTTTCACAAGTTTCACTCAATCGCATGTTTCCAGTCATTAACCTCCGAACAGTACACTTCAAATCCCGCAACTCCTTACACAGCATGCATGCAATTCAGATTCTGAAGACATGTAACTTCTAGACCTCGTCTCAAAAATTAGGCTGTCCCAAGGATAACCACATGTGAGCTGAGCTTGCGAGCCCGCGGCCTACCGCAGGATACTCACACTCCATGGATGCGCTTGTGGATGTTGATGGTGTATTCTCGGGTCACCACCTCATTGATGGCAGAACGGCCCTTCTTCTTCTCGCCACCCTTCTTTGCGGGAGCCATCTAAATAGGCGGCAAGGAGGCTCTGAGCAGGCAGAGTGGGGCAAGCTCAAACTAGGTCCTCATTCCCGGGTTGGACAAATGCTGCCAGGTACAGAGCAGGGCCAGGGCTAGGGATCAGAGC